CACTGACAGTTGAAATAGTTCATGCACATCAGTTGCATGATCAACACTGCCAATTGCCAGATCAAATGGACAAAATTAGATACCCCAAGAAGATACCACCAGTTGGAGCCTTTGAAACAGTAACTCAACTATAGAATCACCAAGCAATAGACAGCAGTAAATTTCTCACCTATCTATCAAGTGGTCTGATAGATCAAGCACTCTCCTGATGGCAGTAGTATTTGACTCTAGGCCACTACCTGGTTGCGCCTCCACAACCACCACCCCTTGGATGGAAGGGCCGCCCCTTGATACAGCTAGGAGCATTCTTTTCCCCAGATGTTATGGTGCTGGCTGGATATTGCCTCTTCTAGTAGTTCACAAGGTCAAATAATATCCATATTGTTTTTTTTATTCTAGGCCACTGTGGAGCAATGTGGCTTTCCAAAATGATCAAGTCCAGATTTTACCATCCAAGGCTGGGCTGGTGAGCCAAAGAATACAAATGTTCTGAGGAGCACTGCTGCAACTTCAAGTAACTTGGCCAGGACTACAGTTTACTTCCACCTAGAGATGCCCCATTTATGCCTTGGAATGCAACATAAATCAACCAAATTGCACTGTGGAAGTTGTTGCTGCGTAATACCAAACTCACTGTCAATGCACTCACTTCCATAGATCCCATGACCAATCTTCTAGAAGTCATGTTGATTAACAACAAGTCACTGGTTTGTTAGATGCCCCAGACCACACAAGTGTAGACACAATAATGGTGGAAAATTCCTGGGTTGGGAATCCAAACACTGATTGGAGCTGTATGGAGCAAGAAGTGTATCCACAACAGTGAAAAATACTCAAGATAACAAAATTTGCAAACAAGTCCACCAGACCATCACCAACATGATCAGAGCCTCACTAGTAAATGTAAGGCCAACACCAGAAAAGAGGCTAAATTTGATGAGAACTAGCTTATTGACAAATTGACTAACAACTGCAATTCATGCTACTACAAGACATATAAAAATCCTCATCAGCACTCACTAGTAAGCAAGTGACCATATTGCAATGGACATGCATCTCCTTCCAATGGTTGACACACAATTCTCCCCCCATTTACTAGTACGGACATAGTATCAATACTGCATCAGCAACAGTAGTATATCAACAACAGCAACAGTGGTATATCAATGACAGCAACATCAACAGCAACCACAACAGCAACTGCAACTGCAACTGCAACTGCAACTGCAACAGCAACAGCAACAGCAACAGCAACAGCAACAGCAACAGCAACAGCAACAGCAACAGCAACAGCAACAGCAACAGCAACAGCAACGGCAACGGCAACGGCAACGGCAATGGCAACGGCAACGGCAACAGCAACGGCAACTGCAACGGCAACGGCAACGGCAACCGCAATGGCAACAGCAATGGCAACTGCAATAGCAACTGCAACTGCAATAGCAACTGCAACAGCAACGGAAACAGTAACGACAACAGTAACGACAACAGCAACAACAACTGGTGCAATAGCAACTGTAATAGCAACTGAAATAGCAAAGGCCAGGGAGGAGGATTTTCCCCTTTGGAAGGGTTTGTGACCACGGTGGTTTGGATGTCAGAAGGCCCTGGTCAGGTATGTGTTATGTAGGAATCAGTAGAAAATCTAGGTGATAATTTTCAGAACAGAAGTGTTATTTTGTGCATTTGGCAAAAATAGTGTTGAAAATGATGACTCTGGAGTAGTATTTGTCTCACTACAAACAGTGTGGTTGGACTAAGAGCAGCAGGGTAGGTCCTGATCTGTTGTTTAGTCAAGTCAGTATCCATATTCTTCTGTTACTGTTTTAAAACAATTTTTAATAGTATGAATCAATCTATTATCTAGTGGTGGTTTTCAGAGAGCGTCACACAAGATGGGCTGGTCTTTGACGCGTACTCCAAAAAGAAATGACACAAACCCTCAGCATCACCAAAGATTTCTTTGGTCTCTGCCCCTACCAAACATACCATGCAAACTACTATTGAACAAATGTTTCAACTTATTCCCCAGCCCAAACAAAACCTTGGTCGCACCTCCATCAAAACTCCTAGGAGGGAGGTGCCGCCCCTCAGAGCGACTAGAAGCATGCTTTTGACCAAAAAGCTATGGTTCTGGACATATAGTGCCTCTTCTAGTTCACGAGGCTAAATATAATATTAAGATTTTTTTATCTAGTGGTGGTTTGAAGATCTCTTCTTTTCATGTACTAGTAGTTGGAGCTGGTTGCTTGATTTCTTTGCTCCCTGGCAAGGACATTGTTGTCTTCTTTGACGAGTAAGTTGTCGTCATATCCATTTCATGGACAATAAACTTCTTGGTCTTCATCTGACAAGGAGTAGTCATCTTAGGTGAATGAGGCATCATCAGGCTGAGTCTCCCATCCATAGTACAGTGAGTCAAAGCAGTATATTTATTCTTCCTCCTCATTACAGTCTTCTTATATACCCTTGAACCACTCAAAAATCTGGCTCTTCTTCATTTGCTGAGGGAGGAGAGGCTTTGCAAATAATGCTAACTCAATTGGTTTTGCAAGGTCTCTCTTCAAAAGACTTAAAACATCCACACAAGTCTCATTCAGCTCCTTGTTGTTAAAGAGTGTTGGTTTGTTATTCCATTCCAAGTCTTCCACTCATTTCTCCTTGATTGACAGATATCTCTGGAGGGGGCCTCTGGAGCCCCAGGTGGGCCACAGATCTATCCATACTAACTATTTGAATCTTCCAATTGATTCCTACATTGATGTCTTGTTGCTTAATCAGCTCAAATGCATTGTGATCCTTTGAAGCTGAATGCCATGTCATTTTGATATTGACCTTTACAATTGCCAGCTTCCTTGTGGATAGCCAGTGCCTCTGTTCACAAGCTTTTGGGCCTTAGTAAACAAGCAGCTTTCTATGGTACCTTGGCTTCTTAATCTTGGCATAGTTTTTAATGCAATGCTGGGCAGTCACTCCTCTTGTGGAAAAGAAAGATGCGTCAGGGACTGTCTGGAGGCTTCACAGAGTCTGGGTAGCTATCAGCATATCAATAGACATCCTTACAGTAGAGCTCTTCCACAAGGAAGTCTGGTGTTTTAACCAAGCATTACATATCAATTGAAATTATATTTCACAGGGCATTCTGAAAGTTAGAATTCAAGTTCCTGATCTTAGAATCAAGGTTCCCAATGTTAACTTAACATTCCCAACATCAGAAATATTGTTTGGAATGTTAACAGTACTATATCATTGTACTACTAGGTCTGTGTAGATTCTGATATATTCCCCATTCTTCATTTGGAAGTGCGCCAGCATTCAAAAACAAGAGTATAGGTCTTGTTTCCTAAAAAAGAGGAGGAAGAAGGTCACATTGCCTGCTAACATTTGGAATGTTAAGTGGAACGCAGAGTTAACACCATTCATCTGTATTACTCGTCATTTATAGGATGGTCTACTACTAGTACAGTACTAACATTCAGAATGTTAAGTTACCATTAGGAATGCCATATGAAATATAATTTCAATTGATGCACAACCTGTAGTAGCCCCTGTTTAAGCTTCTTTTTGCAGTATCCTCCATTGTTAGACAATGAGGTTTTCCTCTTCAAAGGAGGTACCAATATTGTTCACAATCAATTTCTTGAGGAGGAAATTGTGATTGACACACTTTGTTCTCAGTACCAGGGGCAAATCCACCACTCATCTTCCTGATTGACCAGAGATGAACAAATAAATCAAGGGGGTATCTTGCCAAATTTTGAGTTGGCACATTTAGCTATCTACTAATTTAGTGAGCTAAAAATGATAGTACTACTACTGCTACTACTACTAGTAGCAGTAGTACTGTCATTACTACTACTACTAGTAGTAGTACTAGTTGCTGAGCAAACTGCTTGCCAGTCAGTCCATCTGTTGTGGGACTGCTGGAATATTTTTAATCTAAGTAGTTATTACATAGCAGAAAGATAKACCAAGAAAATCCAAGCACACTGTTTTTCTAACCATATCTGTTTTAATCTTGAACAGACTGTTTGAGCTCCAGCAGGTGTATCTTCTTAGTCCCTCCTACTACTAGTACTAGTACTAGTACTACTAAGAATGTGACGTGGTCCCTCAGTACTACTACTAGTAGTAGTAACAGAGATAAGCATCCCCTTTTGCCCCTAATAAAGAGAGGATTCCAGTCGTATGGGAATATGATGTTACTAACATTTATAATAGTGTGTGGTGAAGCTGTAAGAAATCTGTTGTGCGCCGTAGTGAAGGTTTCCCTGAATATTTTTCGCATGGACCCATCAGAACTCCACATCTACGGATTTTCGTTAATGACCCCACAAGATAAGACTTAGAAGTACTTTCCTTACGTGCTGTTCTATTGGGGATCGATGCTGATCTATTTTCCTCCGGTTTCTTCCGTAGTCTTAAACGGTACCTACCGTAATATTACTGTCTGAATCCAGGCACATTTGCATGTGGGCAGTACGTGGGATCCTTAACTTCTTAGATTTCTGGAGAGAAGTCAAGTTCAACGGACGCTCTATTGTGCGACTGAGGCCTTGTTGGAAATTTCGCTTTCATGCAAGAATGCATCTGATTGGTTCCTTGATATTTTGGAACTGATTCGAGCTGGAGAAGGACTCGGAGTAGAAAAACACGACCTGGCTTCTTGTTCTCTACATTACGGAGAGGAACAAAGTATCTCCCAGCGGTCATTTTGCGAATCTTGGGAACTATCATGCTCTTCGTTACTTAAAGGAGTAGTAGGTATTATACCTACGAGTACTTTCATGGTTTACGGTAGCTATCGTACTACTGTACTCAGACTGCGAGTACAGGTACTGTACGCACAGTACGTACGAGGAAAAAAAATTTAAATTATCTGTGCGCACGTACCGTACTGCCGGAACGGTCGGAAGCTATTCGCGCTTTCCAGGACAAATAAATCGTACGAGTACGAGACGTACTTACCAAGTACCAGTAAATTACCATGTGTGGACTTCCATTTTTTTTTTCTCTTCGAAATAATGAGAAAAAATGATGCGAAGGAGAGCGCGTGAGGTCGGCCTTTCTCCGATGTAAGATTTACCCAAGTTTTGATTTTTGCTTTGCTCGCTCTGCATTGTTTTCGCACGATATCATATTTCCAACGACGACGCGGTAAGAATTACTGTTGCAAAAATATTGCATCTTCTGAGAAAGTGTCCTTCATTCAGCGACATACAATCCAGCCAAACCATGAGCTTTTCTACAACCACCTCCATCACACAAAAAGATGTATCCCTTTCCTCCGAATGGGCTCCATCGGAATGGGCCGAGACAGACACGCAAATGATCCCTGGAAACGTCGACGGAGAAATGCTTCCTGCCAGTGCTTTCCAAGCTGCCGGCAAGGTTCTCAAGCAGTGGCTATCTGATGGGCAACAAGAGCCTGATCAATGCTATCAAAACCACCTAAACAACTGCAATTCTGCTATTGCAGTGATTCCATGCGATTCATCGGCATCGTCTACCGAACACGATGATGCGACCGCTGACCTGGCCAGTCTCATGGAAGTCGACGAAGAAATCGGCGAGAACCTTTTAGGCGATGAAGTTTTTGGTGGTCCATGCGAAATAACTGAAGATAGCCAACTCCATTTCGGTTACTCGTTATCCGCAGTATCTCACGAAGACAAAACTCTCATGAACTCGATCTCGGCTATGAACATGGAAGATGACATGAGCGAAGAGGATCGTCGCTTCTTGGCGCCTTTGCTTGTGGAGAATACCTCGACATCGATGGATTACGATGCCGGTTATATTGTCACAGACGATGAAGTTCTACATCAGCCATGCGCATCATCTCCATCGGCGATCGTGGACCAGCAGCGATACCAAGAAATCATGAAGAAACTTGAGGCGTCTATGAACCGATCTCAAGAAACGCGCAAAAGCCTGACCATGAAAACGCCAAAAACAGAAAAATACAATCGCCGCCGAAGCATAACTGGTGTCCTCTCTTCCATCGAGTCCTCTTCGAGACAACTCCAAAATTTCTTGCAAACGGTGAAGCAAAGGAAGCAAAGAACTCCAGTTTGAATTGAAACTCTTGTAGAATGCGCCTACGCAAAGCTTCGCAGTTAGATCCGACTGAACTAATGATCCATCGAACAACATTTTGATTATAAATGACTGGCTTTACCTGCCCCTCACATGCCAATTGTTATCACGAGATCATCAAGTCAAAATCAACAAGTCATTAACCGAACGGCCGATCCTGTCGTAATAAATAATTCGATTTCTACATTTTATCGCCTTTTTCAAAAGTGAACATCGTGCTTCGCATTCCTTCAAAGCATTCAAAATATTCCTTTCAATACGAAATGCAGCTATTCATATATCCAATCAAGAAAGCATCCAGAGCATCACAAGCGCTGCTTCAAAGACATTCCATAGAAGGAGATTCGATATTATATTTTTCATCGTAATGAAATATCACGCACCGTGAAGAGTATTTCAGACAGAAAAAGGTCTTTTGTTTTCAATGCATGGTCATTAATGCAAGGTCTACAAAGGTGTCTCCGAGTGATATCCAATGTTGGACAACGGAGGTGCAATTGAAACAATTAATGATTCGATGCTTACAGCTGTTTACACTGTACGACTGAATGTCTCAATTGGGTGATTCCTATTTCAAAGGCATTTTAAACCGATCTAGGCTCTCTAAGTCGTTGTAATCAGCGATGACTTTGATTTTTTTGCGAGCGTCGGTCATGGATCACAGCCTTTGAAATCGTGCTATCGTGCGTTAACGCAAAAGTAATGACTGGAATTGTGAAGTATGATGAAATAAGATCTACCGAAAACAATTGGAAGCGCTTTAAACCCAGAAGAAACGGAATCATTTCATTCCAAAATCAACAATCAATCCGAAAAACTGTTAGTTGTATGCAACAATAGAATGGATACTCTATTCTCTATCGCAAATTGATACTCGTGCTGTGGTTCGAAAATATTCAATTTCACATGAAGTATTCGATAGATACAATTTGGAAAGCCGTATGTTACTTTATTAGCTATTTATGGCTGTCAATACGGAATCGGGAAAGAGAATCCTGAATTATGTACTGATGTCGAGTATGGTATCGCCAATGCGATGGGTGATTTGTTGTGAATAGTTATGCGCTGAAACCGAAACCATTCATATTAATCGTGAGCCAACCAGTCACTTAACCTTTCTCAATGACTCGATTGTTTCTGGATGATCACTGCAACAGGAAAGCATGAGCATAGTAGCTCATCATTGCTTTCGGGCTACATAAGTAGATTGATGGCATGTAGATTACTGCGTAAAGCTAATACGATATGAAGAGTATTAATCGCTTAGTTTCTCTATGTCGAAAATAAATAACGTGTGGCTCGATAGTTTTGTGTGCGTAGATATCTTTCTAGTAGTTCATCTATGAGTCTTGATCTTTGTCTTCTTTTTCGTTTCCGTCATTGACAGGCGTGCTGCTACCACCTTGAAGTTTCAAAAGACGCCGCTCATGCCAGAAATCCAGTTCGTCCAAACCATATTCTCCGAGCCTAATAATACTATACGTGCCGCCGACTGCCACCAAACCACCTCCTGCGGCTAGCGCCAGGGCTAAGGGAGCGACCTTGCCCAAAAAGTCCGCCATAGCAAGTGAAACTCCGGCTCCAATGATTCCAAGACCAAGTCGTCTTCGAATTCGAGACGATCGAGACCACGGAACAACGATGTTTTTTCGACTTTCAGTCCGGTCGTTGTTGTTACCGACAAGACCCGTCTTGCACGGACTTTGCTTCCAAAAGTTGTTTTCAAAAATGGAAGACAGAGAATTCCGATCTTTGCCGGCGTGATGGTATGCGTGAGGAAGGGTCAGCAGCATAACAATCATATCGTTCCCTTCATGGCCTTGCAATATATGGCCACCTGTCAAACAGTTTTCCAGCAGGATGACATCACCCGGTTGGAAGATACGCATTTGACCCGAATTTAAGACAATCTCGAGTGATGTTAGGGGGACGACCAATCGTGGGTGCGTATCGTCGTGATTGGAACCACCACCGCGCCCAATTCCACCGCCAACACCCACAGTGTCCCCGCGACCGCATCCTTCTTCGAAGGATCCTGGTTTGGATCCTCCCAACAAGTGTCGGATGGTGAGAGATGACAGAGGAACGGGTACAGTTGTAGAACCAGAGACACCACATTCCCAATAAGGCAATACAATCGGAACAGTGGGAGGCAACGATGATTCTGGAGTGCTAGATGATGTCTCATCGTTCGAGAGAACGTCATCGAAATGAGCTAGTTTATCCTGTGGATCCGTGTACACGCGCGTAGTAATTTCAAATCCCTTAGCGAATGGGTCTTGGTATTGGAAGGAATGTAAAGGTCCAACGAAGGGAATTTTCCCGGTAGTCCCTGCCCCACTCGAGTTGCTGCTCGTATCGTTATTGACCATGTCATCCGTACTTCTACTACTGTATTCTTCCTCTGATCCGCCTTCCTGTGATGGCACGGAATGCAGACACAACGCTCTCTTGGCTGACATAATTAGGATCGCTGCGAGGAGGGCATATCGCACACTTCTACGTTGTTCTTGCATTGTGATTATTGCTATGTTTTCTCTCCTCTTAAATTTTTTCTATTGAAACAACTGTAAACGCTGAAAAATGTTCTTTGCTTTGCGTCCGAGATTTGTTGTGTTTCTAGAGGATTGGTTCGATTCAACTTTTAACGAACTCAACTCGATTCTACCTTGCGTTGCGTTGCATCACACGCTGATAGAACTAACTCAATTCCTTCTGTCTGAAAGACGATGAAAGATTGCTCCTGTTTCGCAGCAATCCAATTGTTAGTCATGGAATGTAATACTATTTACAACTTCGTTCTGTTATGGTGTCAGGTAGCTTCGATTGATCAAATTTCCTGATCGTGTCGTACATTCAACACAATCAAAAATTAAAAATTACTAGAAGTAGTACTTACTGAACTCTACGTATTCTAAGCTACCGTATCGTACCGTACTTTTCAGCATCTACGTGGGGTACCCTACAATTTTTCGAGAATGTTGAAGGCAATCAAAGAGCGTCGAAGATGACATCTTTTGGATTGTTCCCTGCTGTTTTAAGTACGAGTAGTACAGTACGTACCGTACTGTAGTACCGTACTACGCGTTGCAGATCAATTGAAACTAGGTTAACTAAGGCATTGGGAACGTTAATTTAACGTACGGAATGTTAAGTTAACATTCCGCACGTTACGTGTAGAATCTGTACTAGCCCCGGTGGTGGCACGCCGGCAGGCCAGCAGCTGCTGTTCAGCATCTTGGGTTTTTATCGAGCGTTCAAATTGTACTGAGGCCTACTGTTGTGTACCTAAAAACTTGTCTCCAGCACGCTATAGTAACTGTTCTTTTCATTCTTCAATCAAAACACTCGGTTCAAAGCAACCGACCATGGGAATCTGCTCTATTTGCAGCACTTTCACTCAATCTCATACACTGTACTTGGTATCAATGGATAGATATCTTTGATTATCGATTGAACAAGCCTTGAACTGTAGCAAAGGACCCAGTAGAAGTATTGTTTTGGTATGATTAGTGTGGCTTATTTTTTACAACAACTTGCTTCCGACGTCGGCAATCAGCTCCTTCCCCCCCCCCCTTGCATCCTCCGTATCAGCAGCGAGCGTCCGTATCAGCATCCTGCGTATCAGCATCTCCGTATCAGCAACTCCTCGTCCTCTGTATCAGCGAGCTACCGTATCAGCATCCTCCGTATCAGCGGACACCGTATCAGAGGAGGACACTGTATCAGCGGACACGGTATCAACGAGCCTCGTCCGTATCAGCATCCNCGTATCAGCATCCTCCGTATCAGCGGACACCGTATCAGAGGAGGACACTGTATCAGCGGACACGGTATCAACGAGCCTCGTCCGTATCAGCATCCTCGTATCAGCATCCTCGTATCAGCATCCTCGTATCAGCATMCTCGTATCAGCATCCTCGTATCAGCATCCTCCGTATCAGTGGCTCGTATCAGCGACTCGTATCACTGGCTCCTCCGTATCAGCGAGCCTCTGTATCAGCAGACGCCGTATCAGCAGCTCATCCGTATCAGCGACTCGTCCTCCGTATCAGCAGCTCATCCGTATCAGCGACTCGTCCTCCGTATCAGCAGCTCATCCGTATCAGTGAGCCTCCGTATCACCAAGCGAGCCTCCGTATCAGTGAGCCTCCATAATCATTGCTCATACTGCTGGATGCTGTTCGTCGGAAGAGTCGCTACTGTACTGTAACACACCAAAACAATACTTCTACTGGGTCCTTTGCTACAGTTCAGGGCTTTTTCAATCGACAGTGGAAGAGAGATATCGATTGATACCAAGTACAGTAGGAAAGAGTGAGTGGAAGTGCTTGAAATGGAGCGATTCCCATTGTCGGTTGCTTGAACCGAGTTTTTCTTTAGAATGAAAGAACAGTTCTAAAGCGTGCTGGAATCAGCACGATGGATCAGCACGCTGGAGGTAGGTAAAGGTCACGACAGTAGGACACGGTACATTTTTGAACGCGGAATCAAAACCCTTCTATTTTGACCAAAATGGCAAGGCAAGAACCTTGATCCACGATTTTCTACAGGATTTTCTACACAGCTTTGTACTAGGATCCATCCAAATAGACTGATCCTGGTCCTCGCTGAGCAGCTGGATCAGCAGCTGCGGGGCCTGCTGGCGTGCCACCACCGGGGCTAGTACAGATTGTACGTAGGCCTACTCCGCTAACGTACGGAATGTTATCTTAACATTCGGAATGTTAGCGCTAACATACGGAACGTTATCTTAACATTCAGAATGTTAGCGCTAACATACAGAACGTTAAATTAACGTTCCCAATGCCTTAGTTAACGTAGTTTCAATTGATCTGCAACGCGTAGTAATACTTCAAAATAAGGGTTAAACCTACCGGTACGTACATTTACAATAGAGTCCAGTTCTCACCCGGATTCTCCAGATTCAAGCTCTGGTACGAGCATGCATCATACTTCGTAGCTACGTACTAGAGCTACTAAGTACGGGCCCCATAACGGCAAGTTATTGGCAATCCCTGTACAAATACTAATAGAATTTTTTAGCTCATTTTTACAGTTAAAACCAGTTAAAAAAGGCATCCAAAGGACAAAAATAAAAATATTTCCATTATTTAATTTCTCGCTAGTCCCAAAATATTTCTATTAGTGGTCCTTAATACTGGAGTTAAGCACTGATTTGATATTCTCAGTAGTAAGGACCACTAATAGAAATATTTTTCATTTTTTTGTGGAGGAGGGGGGGAGGGGAAATAAAGACAGGAAAATAAGAAAAAATTGACACCCGGGGAATTGCCAAAAACTTGCCTTTACTATGGGGTCTGTACTTAGTAGCTCTACTACGTACATACTCCTATTATGAATGATAGAACATGATTGAGTCACAAAGTACAAAAATCTGATATTTAATATTTCTATTAGTGGTTCTTACTACTACTGAAGAGGTAATTTCATTTCTACTTGAAAATTTCCATTAGTGCTTACTCCTACTGGATAACCTCTATTACTACTTACTAGTGGGGATGTTATAGTATTAGTAGTGAGCACTGCAAACTGACGGGTAACAAAGCTGTTCTGTTGGTGTTGCAAGTGACCAGCAGCAAGAACAACAAGAGGAAGAATTAAAATATTTACATTTTTACTATTTTTGTCCATTGGATGCTTCTTTGAACTGTTTTTAACTGTAAAAACAAGATTGCAACAGATACGTACGTACTGTATCGGAAGTATACGTACGGTGCGGAGCTTCGAAGAAAGGAATGAAGGAACATACCATTCCTACGTACCTATCGTAAGGTACCCTTCCTATGTATGTATCGTAGGATCCATCTTATTAAGGATCATAAGAGGTCCAAGATACGAGGTGCAAGAATACCTCACGAAGAACAGAGATGTCACAAGTCCGGAATAGAAGAACCTTCATGTAGATTCACTACCAGATCTACRTGAGGATCTAATCGGAACTTCGGAATTCTCGTGAACGCGCTTGGTAACCTTCAAATAATTCTAATCTTATAATTTCAATTTTCATACACACTTAAGAGTACACGTATATGGTGCAAAGATTAAAAGTCTCTAATATTGTTTGTACAGGATTTGCCAAAAACTTACCATCATGGGGCCCCTACTTAGTAACTCAAGACATGCTACTACTACTAGTAGTCCCAGCGGTGCGTACCACTGCTGGCAACAGGGTATGCATTTCATATCAATTGTAGTAACCCAGCATGTTGATCCAGCATGCTCAAACTGTTCTTTTCTTCATTCTATTAGAAAAAACTTGATTCTAAGAAACTGACCATAGAAATTGCTATTTCAAGAACTTCCACTCAATCTTAGAACCTTTATCATGTATCAATTGATAGCTCCATTCAATTGTTGATTTACACTTCTTCTTGTTCTTTTTGAACTAGTATAGTAGAAAGCAACCCAGTAGAATCCCTACTTAATTTACTTGGAACCTGTTGGCAACAGTCAACAGACAACAGCAACCCACCATGGTGGCATCCAAAGAAGCTATTGAAGTAGTTGCACAAGAAGTTCTTTGGTGGTAGCCTGAAAGAAGGAGGAAATGGAATGTCAATGCCAAGGAGACAAGGTTCAGAGGATGCTTTGGAACCCCATGTGAACAATTAGTAGCAGATAGTATATGGAACAAAATAGTATCTCATGGTCCTATCAAATCTAGTTGAGAACCAACAAATTGACTGTGATCTCTTATTCACCTTAAGGTGTATATAACAGTTGAGATCTATTGTGCCCTTGTCAGCTGGCCTTGTGGAAAGTCCTTTTTGACATGGTCCTATTACTTTCTTGTCAAGAGGATTGCAGACCTGTTTGACAACATTATCAATCCTGACAGTAGATTTGATGGTCACAAGGATAATTTCTCACCAACTGCTATATTAGTGCAGATGGAACAGACTGCCCCCCTGCCTGTTCACAAGCTGTGGCCTTTCTCCAAAGATATGTATTCCAGGATGGGCAATGGGCCAGGTGTGAAGTTTGAAGTTGCTGTTTGCTCAAAGATCAGGTTCATTGTTTGGGTTAATGAGCCTTTCAAAGCAAGCATGAATGATAATAATACATTTGAGCAAGGGCTGGGTACATTACTCTGTCCAGAGGAAGCTGTGGAACAAGTAGAGGACAGGGCTATGGCAGATCCCAGATCTAAGCCATCCATCAATGGGGACCACAGCTAGGGAGAAAAGAAAGATGAAATCAAATGCTCAAGGAAATCAGGAAGCTGCAAATAGAAAAATTGAAACAGTTCAGTATGCTCACTACTCCTTTCAGGCAAATGAAGCCTCACAGGGAGGCAATGATGTAGAGGCACAGGTATTGTTTCTATGCTGTTGTTGTCATTACACAACTCAAATTGCTTTCCAGGGCAATAGTGATTACACTGTTCATTATTTCTATGGAGGGAAAAGCTGGAACAAGATTGCATAGATCCTCACTGGCACCTAAAGATACCAATGTATCTGCCAAATAACACTGGTAGTAATAACACTGTTCCCTTGACTTCTCATGGATCTGGTGCTGTTCTGTAGATCTAAGTTTGCAAGGTGTCTGGAAGGTTAGAATAGAGCTAATATAAGTCTGTGTATCTCCAGTACAATCCTACAAACTACATATGATCAAAACCAATTAATTGCTTTTGTACATGGAATTCATTAGAATGACCACATATGAAAATGTCTCTATACTAATTGTGTAGGAATAATATTAATAAATTGTATTACCCCAATACGTACTAAATACTATGAATATCATCACAAGTGATCCCCACACTTATCCTATGTATGGGAGTTATTTTAATGTTCTCATTGTTAAGTTTATGACACAATCTTTATATTAATGATGCCATTGTTAGCTAGGTAGCTTTAGGTAGATTATGTACTAGTCCCAGGACCAGCAGCTGCTTCAGCAGCTGCTCAGGGAGGACCAGGATCAGTCTTTTGGGAGGTCTGTAGTACAAAAGCTGTGCAGAATTGGCATAGAAAATATGCAAATCAAGAGAGTGACTGCAGCTTTTGGTCAAAGTAAATTGGTTTTTATTGCCCATTCAAACTCCTACTGGGTCCGATTCTGGTCCACCTAAAAATACCTCCAGCACGCTGGTGATCTAAACTGTTCTTTTTATTATTAGAAAAAACTCCTTGGATGCACAGCAACTGACGACCATGGGAATCAGGTTTTAGAATGCTTCCACTCACTCTTAGACACTGTAATTGGTATCAATTAGTAGCTCTCTTTGATTCTCTATTTAAGGCGGTGCTGCCTTGAACCATAGCAAAGGACCCAATAGAAGTACTGTTTTAGTGTGCTGATTAGCATTGCTTGTTTTTCTTACAGATCCTGCCAATAAGGTTGCAAAGATCAGAGCTGACCATGGCCTAACTAGACTAGTAACACAACAACAATGACAAGCTGGACTGCCTCATCCTTCTGTAGGGGGGTCTGAAGGGTATGATGGACATGTTAGGCAGATGGAACTGGATAGGAAAGCTGTTGGTCTTCCTCCTTTTATGGCTAGTGAAGCCGCTGTCAGGAGGTGGAGGACTAGACTTTATGAATACAGAAAGACAAGCAACAAAGAATAAGAAACGCTGGTAGGCTTAGAGCTCTTTGACCTTGAGTTCTATCTCTGCATGTATCCAGATTCAAGCCTTGCAAAGAACCAACTGCAAGTATGGGTACACCTGATTGTGCTTCCAGTTGAGGAAGCCTGGGCACTACTATGCTAGAGGCCAGAAACTGACCATCTTGCTTGCTGTGGAGCCAGGGGATCGGCGTCTTCCTCCAGCCACTAGAGGAAGTGTGGAGAATCCAAGGAGGTGCTGGGTCAATGTGATCCAGCAAGCAGGGACCACAGCTCATGTTTTGCTGACTTTGCAGACACTATTTTCAAGGATATAGAAGCCCATCTAGTACCTGGCAACACTGATGTGGAAAGGTTCTTCCTGTGGGACAATCTAGGCTCTTATCCAACCACCACAGTTGATCTTGTGGTTAGATACAGACCAGTGTTGAGGCCAACGCTCTTCCATTCTACTCCCAGGGCTCCTTATCAACCCAAGTGGGGACCCATTGAGGAGTACAAGATCCTACTACTAGATGTGGTCAGCGCTGTGTCTAAAAGTGCAATGAGAAAATGGAAACTGTCTGATCTTGAGCAAGCTATCTACAGGGAGGCTGGTAGAACTATTAAAGGTGTTGGCAATACTTTTTCATTGTGAAAACACTGTCAATGGTGTCTATCATGATGAGCAAGCAAGCAGCAACACAAGCACCTCAGTGGTCTCCAGCAAGAGATCACAATTCAGTGAGTAGTTGCAACAGACCAGAGGAATTCCCTAGCAACTGGCTTGCTGACGTGGTGACCCCTACTACTACTACTACTACTACTACTACTACTACTACTACTACTACTACAGTGATGATACAAGTATTACTAGTGGGAATGCTGTGCTACTATAGGGGAATACTACTAGTACTAGTCTTAGTACCTCCCACTTTGAAAAAATTACAGAGGTTGTACAAAATCAAAATGCACAACAAGAACAACAGTAGTAGTAGTAGTACCAGCATCGGAAGTACTGTATATGTTTTGTTTGCGAGCTGGTCTAAATTTGAAAATACTACTACTAGTAGAGACACCTGCATTTACCTGGAAAGTTCGTTGAGGTGAACTAGTTGCAAAAATACAGAATTTTATCAACTGCCCAATCTCACTCTATTGCTATCCGGATAAAATGAATTGCCTCAAATTGGAACAGGTTCTTTCGTGTTTCCCAATCTCGCAAGATACACGAAAGCATCTGTTCCGTAACCTTCCATACTCATAATGCTCAGGTCTCCACCAAAATATCGACAGTAACTACGTGAAATCGGCAATCCATAACCCAAACCAGCCAAGGGTGAATCGATACCGTGATCCACCGCCTCGTTTTCGACGACACCAACCATACCTGTCCAATCAAAAGAGAGCAAGAACAGAGTGTAGAATGAAATAGCGATTAGAGCACTAGTTGTGTCCCAACAATCAAAGCCCTTAGCATACGGAACCGATGTGAACTTGCCTTCTTGTATGGATGGATCGGCTGTAGTAAACAAATATGACCAAATCTTCTCAACATTACTTCTTGGAATTCCTCCACCTTCATCGCTAACTTTGATGACTACATCCTCGTTGTCACTGCCATCAGCAATTATGACCTTGATTGGCGGGAAATCAGCATCTGACCCATGCCACTCTACGGTTGCCCGCATGCTATTTTTCAGCAGTTCGAGCATGATGTAATGCAAATGGGTCGGAACATAAGGAAAGGTCAAATCTAATCTTCCGCTCATTATAACTTCAGGGGCATCTCCATATTTTCTCGTGCACATGAATGCCGCATCGTCAATAGCACGTTTTACAATTTCGTAGGGTGATGTTACTGAACATATAATACCGACGTAATGGTCAACCGGAGGCTGTCGCAATGCGAGATACTGACCAATCAAAACACGAATGCCGATACGACACAAATAGAACCGGTCCAAAAAGGCGTGCGTATCTTCCATTTGAGCAAACACATCTTTCGGCCTTCTACTGGATTTACTCTTTGAGGTAGAGTTTGTATGGATGTGGTGGCGGAATTCATAGGCTCCTCTTGCCATCTGTACCAATACTCTTGAGTGTCGCTCGTAAATTCCCTCCACTAGTCTCGAAAAACCTTCCTCCTGATCGGCACTAACGATCTTCTTGTCGAAATCGATCAATTCTAAAAATGATTGTATGTACAATTGTTTTACTTCTTTTACGGATGACATATCTTTCATCAGCGGGACCTACGTTTTGAAAGCACAGCGTGTATGCAACAACATCCAACGAAAGTGAGCAGATCTGAGCAAGCTCGAAGAATTATCATTGCTACAAATCTTCTCCATTTTCTCCTACTCACCTTCTCCAAATCCTGAATGCGATGAGCTAATCGAATGGGAAGCTCCCGTCGCAAAAAAGAGGCAACCTGCATCAAGACCAATTCCGTTGCAGTGTGTTCTTTTATCGCTACGTTTTCAAAGTGTCGATCGAGGTATTCTCCTCGACCGGTCCTCATTAAAGCTTGCAAGCTCACTGAAGTCGGAGGTTGCTTTGCGTGATCGTTTATGAGTTTCGCTACATCATTCGGAACTCCGTCATATTCGAGATCTCGGTCAACTTTCGGAGTACTGACTTGAATTGACGATGAGTTGAAACGCACGGAGCGGAGATTCTGTTTAGCCACGTGCTGATGGTTGGTACTGTTTGCGCGGACGCTACAAAAAATTCTACTCCGAGAATGGCTTGGATTTCTTACGATGTTTTTTGTCGGGGTCCTTATCATCATAATCGATGTTGATGTCTTCGTTGAGCGTGAGAATGATCGGCCCACCCCTATGGTCCCCATTGCTTCGCTCTGATGTTTCCCAGAAAGAAAACTCCATCTTCGAGCGTTTGCCATCGATCCTCGACTACTGATGGACGACTGTACATTGCGGAGAAAAATCATCCTCGTCAATACAGTGCAAACCACGCAGAAAAATAAATGGTGATGTCGAACCTTAGTACAGTATTTCAGAAGTTGATTCTTGGTATCGGCTGAATTCAATCTTTTTTTATCCCTCTATTGAATTGTACTGGACTGTAGAATAAAGGAACTTTGGAATGGTCACGAAGTAGTTGGAAATTCTTCAGAAGCAATGTAAGTCGCCGTCTATCTCGTTCGTAGTTTGAGATGACAAAAGAAAGTTCACTTTGGCTTCAAAACTTTTTCCCAGTTGGTTCGAAAAGGAATTCTACCTTTGCAACAGAGTTCTCACCCAGGATTTTCGTCACGTTTTGATTTTGATGTCTCGTATTTCGAGTCGATTTTTGAAGGCAGCCAAAAAATTGAAGTACTGTAGTTTTGTTGCCCTTTTACGTACGTATCGTACCGTAACCTACCCTACACTGTATTGTACCATTAAGTAAGTACGTACCGTACTGTACTTCTATTTCCTGTTTTAGTTTTTACTGTTTTTGGTAGATGTACCGGTACATTACAGTACCGGTAGTATTTTATTCGTAGTACGTTATAGTACATAGGTTACCTACAATACCTTCTCTGTTTCACAGCATCGTGAAGCAGTAATCCTTTGTTTTGATTGGAGCGCAAATTACGAGAAGAAAAAGATTTGATTCGAACGATTCAATGTGTCTGTACGTACATACGTCCACTTGATCGGAATTGTGGGCTTTTCGCGCATTCTCGTCGAGGTCTTGCCAGATCGGCATTTTTGTTAGAGATAACCATTCTCACGCTCGAACCAGTTCAAAAGCGAACGCATTGCTAGGTTGACGGGAAAACTCGTCTTTGTTGCCCATCATTCGCACATTTCCCACAACAAGTTAATTCGCGAACAAGATACCAAGATGGCAACGCAAACATGGGACGGAAACGCCATGTCCCAGGAGGACATGATGATGAAGGACACTGTACTCGTGCTGGATGACGATGACAATGTCATTGGGTCGGCCTCGAAGAGAAAATCCCACGAGTTCACGCCCGAACAACCCCGAGCCATTTTGCACCGAGCTTTTTCAGTCTTTATTTTCGACGAATCGACCGGGGAGCTTCTGCTGCAACAACGGGCTTCGTCCAAGATCACGTTCCCAAATGTGTGGACCAACACATGTTGTTCTCATCCCCTTCATGGCATGGAACCACCCGAAGTTGACGGACCGAAAGATGTAGCGGACGGAACTGTTATGGGAGTCAAGAACGCCGCCATTCGAAAGCTCGACCACGAACTTGGAATTCCTGGATCTGAACTAGACATTAACAAATTCAAGTTCTTGACGCGTCTTCATTATTGGGCCGCAGACACTATCACACATGGTCCGGATAGGTGAGTGCTTACGGTTGACCCGGATTCGTATTTTGTGAAATTTATTTCGTGGCAGCGGTGGGAATCTTTCGGGAGACGCAGACTTCATTGGCAGACTGCCGAAGAAATATTGTTTCTCATCAAAAGTATGTTTCATGATTTGATTAATTGTGCTGAAATAGCCCATGGGGAGAACACGAGATTGACTACGTCCTTTTCTACACCGTCTCTTCGAAGTCGGATCTTACTATTAAAGGTCACCCCGACGAGGTAGACGACGTGAAATGGGTCACTCGTGATGTTCTCATTGAAATGATGGAGGATAAATCGTTGCTCTTCTCGCCTTGGTTCCGTCTTATTTGTAAAAAGTGGCTTTTGGATCACTGGTGGAAGGATTTGAAACGGACCATGACAACTGATGATCACGTTGATTTGAAATCCATTCATTGTTTTGATCCTCCCAAGGAACATCTAGGTGGTGGTGGCAAGGCTGGCCCACTTTTTGGAGCTGAGGTTGAAGGTGATGAAAGGTAAATAAGCATTACCAGTTTCACTGCTTTGCACGCGCTTCCAATTGACAAAATTCTCTGATTAGGACGGAGAGAGAGAAAATATGCAAAAGTGATTACGCTAAACAATACAACCATGTTTAAACTACTGCAGTCAATGTACCCTCATACATGCGTTCTTCCGTTTGCTCTCTTATGTAAACTGTATTGAACCATGATTCGTAGTAAAAAGCAAGGTGCTTACGGAAAGATTAAGACTCACAAGGAACCTCTCGTCAAACAGCTATCGCATCTCGATGAAGTATTTGCTGCGGTTACTTTTTTGTATGTGAAGCCATTGAAATCCAACCTCGACACACCCTACATCCGCGAAACTTTTGATGCTGATGATCTGGCATTCTGCGATGAGATTTTGGTCAAGGTATCTCGTAGTTTTGCGGCAGTCATTCGCCAATTGCCAGCGACCATGTTGGTAGACATTCTCATCTTTTACCTCGTCCTTAGAGCCCTTGATACGGTAGAGGACGACATGACATCTTTCCCTAGTAATGATGTTAAGATCAAGCATCTTTTGAACTTCCACAAAACGGCCCTCGCTGATCCGACTTGGACAATGGACGGAGTCGGTGAAGCTGACGAGAAACGGTTGCTCCAACAATTCGATAAATGTCATCGTGTGTTCGCAAAACTCAGTGACAAGTCACGACGTGTAATTGTAGACATCACACAACGCATGGCTACTGGAATGGCTGAATTCGTCGGCAAGGATCTTGGACAGGGTACGACCGACATCGATCAGTACAATCGGTACTGCCATTTTGTGGCCGGACTAGTCGGTGAAGGACTCAGTCGCTTGTTTGCAGCCTCTGGACTAGAGAAGGCATCTTTTGCCAGTGAAGTTTTCCTGAGTGACCAGATGGGATTATTTTTGCAAAAAACCAACATTATTCGAGATTATTTGGAAGATTATGTTGATGGCCGTGCCTTTTGGCCTCAGTCGATTTGGAAAAAACATTCCAAAACAGGAGAATTGGGGTATTTTACTGAACAAAACGACCCTGAAGTCCGAATGCGGTCGTTGGAGTGCCTCAACGAATTGGTAACGGACGCTCTAGAACTTGCACCTGATTGCCTACTCTACTTGTCCAAACTGGAATGTGCTGAAATCTTTCGATTTTGTGCAATTCCTCAAGTAATGGCCATTGCTACCTTGAACTATTGCTACAATAATGATGACGTCTTTACTGGTGTTGTGAAGATTCGAAAAGGAACCTCCTGCAAACTTATTCTTCGCACTAACTCACTGGACGAAGTTCATGATACATTTTATCAGTTTGCCCGCGGCGTATTAAGAAAAGCCGATGCGAACCGATCGCAGGGTGTCCTCGATCCATCCTATGCTCGAACCATCAAAATTTGCAAGACCATCATGGATATTACTGCCGACGGACACAACAGGGAACGCAAGGCCCGTCAGCTGCCGTGGATGGCCTCGCTCTTGGTGCCCGCAGCCGGAGTTGCCGCATCGATGTTGCTAAAGATTGACGTTACTAAAGACATGCCCAAATTCCAACGAAGTCTAGCACTTCTTGGACTCAGCGCATTTACCTTGACTCCTCTCTTCTTCCAAAAACCATCTGATTTAACGGATTCGAAATTTTTGGAAAATAAGGGCAAATAAAGCAACTAGGAGCTATTCCATTCAATGTTAATTTAATGGTATTTTCCAATTATTTCTATTTGTAGTATGAATTCCGCTCGCCAATAAAATAATGGTTGATTCCACTGGACGTTACTGACTCGAGTTTATTTTTCAGAAGAAATACTTCCACAATATCTAAATCTTCAGTGAGTCAGCCCATAATTTTATCCAGGCATCGAACTTTTCTTCGGGTGGTTCCAATTCAATTTGTGTTTCTAGGACGAAATTTTGTAGTCGTGTGTCTCCTGTTGGTATAGACTGAGATGCTGTCATGCAATTCTGTATAGCTTTTGCTAATCGTCGACCCGGACTGAAAACTTCATCTGCCATTTGTTCGGCCGAAGTTTTGCATACTGAGTGCCCGAGCAATGCAAAAATTGAGACCGTGATAATACCATCCGATTCTACGGCTTCGGCTTTAGAGCTTGATTTTTCTTTTAATTGAAGAGTCTGCTGTTGCTCTTTGAACCATTTCGTAGTCTTTCGGACGTTGCGATGGACAGATCCATCGGGACCACAGGAAATTAGGAAAACAATGATGGAAGTTTTCCCTCCGGTCATATCTTCGTCAATTTCATTGTTCATCGATCGCAGAGAGACTGATTCCATAAATCTCTCTTTATCCCAGTCGACCAAGTGGCAAATTTCCCCAACGCAGGCTCCATCTTTGATAGAAGTCGTTACAGAGTTTCGAAATTGATTCGCTGTTCGGTGGGCGAATTCCTTAGCACCAGATCGGTCGACGTCTCGTTCTTCTTCCGGAAGAGGGGCGAAGACGATCTCAATTCTGTTCCTGATTGTCATGCTTTTTATAGACTTTGTTTAATTCTAGGTCATGCCATTGGCAATGGAAGTTAGTGTGATGTTCAAGTTTCAAATGCAAGGGGTATGATTTCGTCATTTTTTATTTGTTGATTTGTTCCCGGTGTTGATCATATCCGCAGTACAGCTACTAAAATAGAATTATTGATTATTGTACTACCTACGTACGTTCCCAATCGTGCCCAATCGTGCCCTACCGAAATGATTCCATTGTGAGCCTAAATCACGAGTTAATAGTGAGTGAGCGATAGCCACACTCACGAACTCACTTGAGACCTGGTGAATTTTGAATTTCTGTGGTTGACTCTGCTTTCTGCTTGGCTCGTACAAAGGTACGGATTACGGATACGGATATTATGGGTACGTACGTACGAGTACATACTACTGAGCAGGGGTCATAGCATACCCCTGCTGCTGAGGAAGTACGGTACTGTACGTACTGTATTACGTACTGGTACAACGTATCAAATAAGGATTACTACTCAGCTTCGAGATCTTTTCCAAAGAAACACATCATCGATCTGCCAAATCATCGTCGAATTTTAATTCATCGCATACTTGTACCTTCAGGACAGTACGATACCTGGTACGGTACGAAAAAAGTGAACGTAGGGGAGGACCTTTCACCAGACTAATGTAAGAGTGACATCTATTTTTTGATCGATCACCGTCGACCACAGATAGGAACTAATCATCTGTGACAGGTCTTTCAATCGACGTATGCTATTCTACTGCAAGATGAAGGGCGGAATCATACTGTTGGCATTCTCCCTGACAGCATTTTTCGTGGAAAAGGGGGGTGCTTTCGTCTTTGTTGCACCACAATCGATTAGGTCACCTCTTCCTTCGGGAGAGGGAATGCCAACATCACGACATTTCGCCATATTAGGCGATGGTGATACCGACAATGGCGCAGACTTTCCTGATGATGACAGCGGATTAGCTATGTTTAGCATGGCCTCACTGAATAGTCGGCTCAAGGAGGTGCAAGAAGAAGAAAGCAAGTTGCCACTAGTTGTGCTTGACTCTATGTTGCCCAGACAGGTCTTGGAGCTCCAGATCAATAACGACCTATTGATCGAATTGGTCCGCGACTGTTTGAAACGAGAGTCTCCTTTTTTCGGTATGCTTGGTATCGCACGTTTGGCCGGCGGGCAGCAGGTGCATCTGACCCGTGGCGTCGAGGTGGAGATTCTAGAAGACAAGCTGCAATTTCTTCCGGAAGGCCAGGGTGTCAAAATGGCTCTTAGGGCCACAGATAGACGGTTCGAAATTCAGAAAGGCGGCATTGAATCGATTGGTGGAGAAGACGGATATACCGTTGCGAAGGTTGATTTTTTGGATTCGGCACAGGAAGAAGCAGAGGAAATCCAAAATGCTATTCGCCGGGACGAAAACTATGTCGCAGACACAGAGGAGTATGATCGTATGTCCGTGGCTAGGGCTATTATGAAGGCTAAAGAATTCACCAGTCCGAATGTTAACATGGCCAAAAATCTGAGTTTGGTTGACAGGTGGATCGAACTCGCGCGGGAACGGGAACGCTCGTCTGGTCAGATCGATCAAATATTGAACGATCTGGGCAAGATACCACCTGCGGATCAACCCTCTGAGCKGGCTTTTTGGGTCGGCGCTTTGATTAACCCGATACCAGCGATGGGGGTGTCTCTTGAAATTCGACCTGCCTTGCTTACAGCGAAGAAAGCAGAGCAAAGGGTGGAAGTGGCCCTAAATGGATTGCTCAGGTCTATAAAATATATGGAGGGATCCGCAAGCCTTGTTTGATGATGATGATGATGTCGAATGACTGCTTAGTTTTCTCCCTCACGACTTGGCTCTGATTGTAGCAAAGTTATCAGAGAACATTTTTTCAAAAAAAATGTCAGACCCGACAATCTTTCTTGATGTTGCAGATGAACGGGTTTCGTTTGGCTATTTTTCGGATCAAAAGGGTGAACAACGAAGTCGTTTGATCACAATCTTGTAAATTAACTCTTTTGACCCAAATTCTATCCGGCCACTCCGTCGTTGCGACTAGACGCACAAATTGAAACATTTGCCACTTCAATTCGCATCTGGAATTTTCAGGAAATTTTCCAACGCGGTCTCTTGGACAGTCAGATGCAGTTTGATTTCTGAAGTGCCCCAAAAACGTCCCTTCCTTACCAAGCACTCCCCATTCTAATTGATAGTACGTACTTTCAACTAGCTATGACTTTCGCTAATGCAATTACTCTGGCGCTACAACAAGCTGTAATGTAGGTTATGAAAGCACCGCAAATAGCTTCGAAAATCAAACGAATAGCCAGAGGCGGTTTTGAACTTCGGTGCGTCAAATTTAGTCTTGTAAATTCGTGACTGAATTTTTTCAACAGCTCAAATTAGACGAACGTGCAGAGCTCCTGGTTCCTGGGTTTCTTCTCGCTCTGTATCGCACCTATGCCTGCATTCAAATAAAGTACGAGTATCGTAGGACGTACCGGTACCGTAGGTACGAGTACGACGCCACCGCGGGGCCGGGGCGCCGTTAGAATCTTTTATTTTTTAAATTGTACTATTTTTTTAACGTTTCGAAAAAATCATTTCGACGGAAACGAAGTTTGAAATCGAGGCAATTCAGCTCCTAGTCTTTGCAAATTAATCGTCATAATTACAATACGGTACTGTTCCACCCTTCACGACCTGATGCAAGAACCACCGTACCATACTGTGTTGGACTAAAGGACGCTAATATCCCATAATCTCTGATATAGACTAAAAGGAAGCAATCAGCAACGACGAGAAGAGCATAATGTCGTCCACATCAAACGTGGTCGATCCCCTGCGCGCCTACCTCGAGGCCGTCACCGCCAGACTTGCAGTGTTGGAAGCCCATTGCGGGGTCAACACCGCCTCAAGCCCGCCTCCCTCGCCTGGGAAGGCTTCTGCAGCACTCCAAAAGGTTCCTTCTGCTCGGCACATTGCGGCCTCTGGTAAGATCTTTTAGGCAATTTGTTCTCACACCATGGTTAGTCGCAGGTGAAAAGGAAGAAACTTTCTACTAACACGAACATTTCGTATGATGCTCCCCGTACACGGTCCGACAATATTTTTAAATTGAAAAAATTGGGAATAAAGCAACCGAATCAGCCGCTGTGAAGGCCTTTGACAAATATTCCAACACCACTGTTTATAAGTTTGCCGATGTATGCGACGATTTGGACATCGGAGACGTCGGAAAACTATCTGTGGCATTCTTCGAGGGCATGCGATATGTTATCATTTTGGCATCGAAATCAAAACAACCTACTGATATGACAGAGCTTGTGGAACATCTCAAACCTATCACGGAACCAATGAAGGAAATTCGTGGTCTTCGTTTGAAACGCGAATTTGACAATCACCAGAAGGCGATATGTGAAATGATGGCGTGTTGCTCGTGGGTAACTTGCCGTGCCCCCGCACAACTTCCGGGGCCCTTCGTCAAGGAATGCGTGGGGTCCAGTGACTTTTGGTCCAACCGCATTCGCAAGGAATTCAAGGGCAAAGATGATGAGAATGCTAAGCTCCAAATTGCATTCTGCGATACTCTCAAGGCAACAATCGTCGAGTTGTCCGATTACGTCACAGAATATCACAAGACTGGACTCAGCTTCAATCCAAAAGGTACTAGTTTGGCAGAGTCTGCAATTCGCATGTCAGATAACCCATTGCAAGATGCTGCCATCGAGGCAAACCGCAAGAAGGACCAGCATGCTGGAAAAAAGAGTCATGATTTGAACACTGTCAAGGGAGGAAACACGGCTGGTATTTTTTCCGAATTAGCAAACCGCCGTTCGGAGGATGGATCGTCCGCAGCGACTGGTCTCAAGAAGGTAGGAACGCCATTATGGAGTCATGATCTCTTGTTGTACAATCATATGTACAAGAAGTATTTTGCACGAATATCACTCATAAATTGACTATTTTCCACAAATTCGACATGCAATTTTCTTCTCAACAATCCCAGGTTACAAAAGATCAACAAACGTGGCGGAAAGAATTCAAGGGCGAGGTGAATAAAAAGATCGCAGTCACCTCTTCTAATTCGCCAACTACACCGAAATCAGTGAAAAAGAAAAAGGTTGGTCTTCCCGTTCTCGAGTACCAAGAACGTGGAACCAAGTGGATTATCGAAAACCATACCAAAGACACTGCTAAGGCTCACTCAACAAACGGCTTATTAGAGGTCGAGATCACGGACCCAAAGCAACAAGTTTACATATATAACTGCGAAGAAGTCACAATCAAAATCAAAGGAACCAAGTTTAAGTCGGTCGTCGTCGACAAATGCACGAAGGTCAATGTCATCTTTCCTACAATTATTAGTGGATGTGAAATCGTCAATAGCAAAAAGATTGCAGTTCAGAGTGACGGAATTTGCCCCGTGTTTTCAATTGATAAGACAGTGGGTGTTTCGGCTTATTTGAGCAAGGAATCAGCCGACATTTCGTCCTTCACGACTAGCATGAGTTCCGAGATGAACGTTTCAATTCCAGACGGGGATGATTATAAAGAGATTCCTATTCCAGAACAATTTTTCCACAAGATTACGAATGGTGGCTTAACCTCGGAGGTTTCTGAATTATACAGATAGAAAATGTTTGGAATCTTAGTGAGGAACTTTGTCGAATCTGATCATCGCTTCAGGTGTAATACAAAAGCGAAACCATATCCATTAGAACTTGTTTTACAATGAAAATTGTACCCAAAATAATGTGATCTAAGGAATCAATATTCATAATTTCTTTTCTTCAAAGAATTGTTCAATTTTATCATTACTTTTCGGTTCTGTACGTATGAGAGCCACTAGGTGTGTTCTATCCACGGAAACTGACACGCCGGGTGGCAAGTTGGTTCTGCATTTACATGGTACACGATTCAATTTTGCTTTGTTGCAATCCCATAGTCGACTTGTGTGAAGTTCCTGTGAATAGCCATCAAGCCATCCGTTCTATGAATAGGTCAACCCACGTATGATTAAGGAGTGCTATGTCATCCCAAAACTGTACATGGCATTTTGTTGAATTTTACGGATATTGTTGCCGAATCTAGCGACCTCTGGTCTTCGTTCAATATACGCTGCTGGATTAGAGGAGGTCACAAAAAATTGGCATTCTCTTTCAAATCTACCCTTCTTCTGCATGCAAATCAGAGAACAACCCTGTGTGTTTGAGGAAAGGTTAGAAATTCTAAACGACATAATCAGAAGGGAGGTGGCATGACGTGTTTCAGCAAGACAGCCTTGTCCAAAGTTTTCCCGGTGGCCGCATCTTCATCGTCGACAAAAGTAACCATGACGAACATTCCTCCCCCAGCGGCCTTGCGTGGTGGTTGAGCAATTGTGCCCTGGTAGAAACTTGTAGTATCAGGATACACGGCGAAAACTACATCTCCAATTCGAAGGTTTTTCATTCGCTCTAAAATAATGACCTGAGATTCGGGAAGGTTGAACACCTTGTTACTTTCCATATCTTCGTCGGAAAGCTTGTACATTCCTGTTTGTGGATCTAGTGTGATCACCTTGGCTAAAATCCAATCCGGAGAGCCAGGAACTTCCTGAACAGCCGCGAGATCGTCCTTTTTCGGAGCCCCCCGACCCCTACCACCGGTCGTTGTTGATGACAAACCCCCCGATGTTCCCGAGGATGAAGTGCCAGACACTGCTCCATTTACACCACCGGATGAATGATTGTGGAAGTCGGCACCATTCCTTGCCAGTAAGGATCGTTCCATCTCTTCTAGATCGGTATCCAGTTTCCGACAAAGGTTGTCGATAAGCTCAAAGGTCTGGTTGGCAATTGCAACTTTTTCTTCCGCTTGTTGCAAAGCATCAGATTGTAAGTTCTCGATTTTTGATCTAGTTTCCGGCTCATGAATGTAGGCCATCAGTTCTTCTGTCGTCGGAATGACAACGGGGCGTTCGTCGTCTGGTCCCGCCATTTTTTCGTCGCCGTCGTCATCCTTTGTTTTACTATCGGTCTCGTCTCGGCTTGCGGTCAAAACCCGTACACCTTTCCCGTCGACTACTTCAAGGCGCCCCATTTTCCCCTCGACTCGCAGCAGGTAATTTTGCTGCAATTTCATCGTTTCCTCCACCAGGGAGGAGCAAGATGCATCCATGTCCTTCATCAGTTCGAGATTTCGTCGCATTTCTGCTGGAAGAGTCGACAAACTTTCGATCAAACCTTCTAAATAGGTTTCACCGTCTATAAGACGATTGGACATGGCTGTGTTCCAATTTGATTCGATCTTTCTTCCCTGCTTGCTCAAGTTAGCGGCTAATATGCCTCCACTCTAAAGCTAGGCTTCCGCAGATCTTCATCTCCATTCTCTCGCCTGTATTGATTTTGTTTCGTTGATCGTGTATCTGCCCATTTTTATTGCAGCTTGTTGAAGGACAGACGTTTTTGCGCGCAGGTACTACAACTATCCAGTAGTAGTACTAGTGGTACCACTACAAGTAGTTGTCATAGTATTATTATTATAGTAGTAGTACTAGTACTAGTATACTAGTAGTAACAAAAACGAAAAATAATCAAGATGTCAAATATTATGAATCACATGCTTTTTAATACTGCTCCTTTAATTATGTCTTTCACTCCTCCTGCTGCAAGAAGAAGTGGAAATCGAGAAGAAGACATGAGTATAGTGAGTACTATATGGTGGTGGGGCCACATACTAGTAAATAGTAGCAACAGATAGTAGTACTACAATTAGTAGTAGTACTAGTAGTACTAGTAGAACTATGAAGGTAAGTAAAGGCACTACTACTAGCTAGTATAGTTTCTCCCCCAGGCTAGCACCAGGAAGAACAAGAAGTCTGATTGAACTTCTTCTTGTTCTTCTTGTTGGTGTTCATACATTCTTGACAGCTTATTGGTGGTTGTTCTTGTTGCTGCTTGCTGCCCACCAGCACAGCAGACAAGCAACATCTTCTTACAAGGAAGATCTAGTAGTAGTAGCAATCGTCATTACAGTGAGGATAACTAGCAAGTGACTTGTTGAACAATCACCAAAAAAGGATTAAAAAAATAACTATTCTTCACCAAGGAGACAAGGGGACTGCAATTTATTACTACAAGCACTACTAGTATTACTGAAAATTTAATTCAGTACTAGTACTACCTATGAAAACCTTAAGAATTTTTGTTAGTAGTACATCAAAATCTTCCTGATGATCTTCTCAGCAAATCTGTAGCTTGGAATGCCTCCAGCAAATGGGTTTATTTGTTATTCAAAGTGCTAGATGGCAAGGCCACTCAATTGACTCAAGAAAATTTGGGCAAGTTTTATCAGTATGTGAGCTACTAGTAAGACAAACAATATTACTTGTTTCATAGCTACTAGTCAACAAGAAGGAAGCAACAAGGTCATGCATCTAAATTGCAGGTACTTCTTCTTAGTAGCTGATCACTGACAGAGGAGAAAAAGGGGGCTGCTACAACAACAGTAGCTGAGGACTGTGTTCCTGTGAAGTTACCCAGCATACACCAGAGAAGAAGAATGACTCAAACCTGATGTGCATCATGATGTAGAAATATTGTTTGGATAGAATGCATGACATACTAGTAGTTCTAGTAGCAGTAGTACACACTACTAGTAGTAGAATCTATTTTCCAATCTCATGCTTTTCATTGTTGTTAAGTCAATAGAGGAGTACTTGTTCAAAATTCAACTCATTGTTTGAGACATCCTACAATACTCATGAGTTGATGTAAGACAAGAAGAACAAGAAGAAGGGAGGATGCAAGTAGCACTTGTTGTAGTACTACTACAAAAAGGAAATCCAACATCTGCACAGTCTCAACTGCCATGGTCGTTCTTGATCCAGAATTGGTTCTAGAACCAACCAAATGGATTTCACAAGTTGTTGAGTTTGGCACGACAATCTGGGGAAACAATTGTTTTGTATTTGCGAAACCGGATTACATCGAGATGTCGGCACATGCGTTCCTGAGGTGAACCCATTTGCCGTGCTATTAGTTCTAGGTACAGATACAAAGAACGCAGTGTTTCAAACCAGTTGCTACTACAGTATGTGGAAAAGAGCTGTAGTAGAAGCAATTGTTTACGTAAATCCCCAGAAGGAAGAAAATTTCTAAAGAGAGTATCATAGTCTACAGTGTAGTCGTATCGGCGTTGCGCCTGTCTATTCCATCCGATACAATATCATTCAGGTGTCTTCTTTCTTTCGGCACATCGTAATTCTGTTCGAGTTGGTATCCGAATGCTGTTCGATAGAGTACGTTACGTACGCACGATCCGCATCCGTTTCTCCCCTGCCTCTCGAGTCTTGCTTGCGATGCTGCGTTCGTGGTGTGTCACGCGGAAAACCGAGTCTGGTCCGCCCAGCCCAGCCCAGCCAAGCGAGGCCGGGCTAGGCCAGGCCAACCATCCGTGCGGTTGGCCGGATCTACCGATTACCACTGCTGCTGCTGCTGCTGCTGCGGAGCACCGCCGCCTTGCTGGTAGTCGGGAGCGCCGCCTCCGGGGTAGGAACCCTGGGGGTGGCCACCACCTCCGTAGCCGGGGTGGCCACCACCCGCGTTGTAGGCGGATCCTCCCTGGTAGGCACCGGGACCTCCGTAGGCGGGGTGGCCACCACCCGCGTTGTAGGGGGATCCTCCCTGGTACACGGCACCGCCACGACCGCCACCGTATGCGTAGGCGCCGCCGCGGCCGCCCTGGTGGTTGTGCCTCGGCCTCACTACGCCATCCCCGGCTCCCGTCACGTTGCTGGCCGACCACTTTTGCTTCGCATCGTCGAACGTTTTGTCGAATGTCACCGATTCGCCGTCGTTCAGAGTTTTGTAGCCTTCTTTGTTGATGTGGGTGTAGTGGACGAAGACGTCGTCCGTGCCATCGCTCGGGGTGATGAACCCGAAGCCTTTCTGGCTAAAAAATTTGACGGTTCCTTGGAGTGACATGGTAACAGTAACTGGCTGTGCTCGGCGGTTCCGAAATGTATTGACACCTAGTGGTTCTACGAAACGTATAGGAAAGGATTGGACGAATACTACGAGTAATCAAATCTTTTGTTGGGTGTGGTTGCAGGTGGTATCTGACAACAACGACAGCAACGACAATGGAAAAAAGGCTGGATCGAGTCGATCGCGATCGGACAAATCTAATTCCTTTCTTCGAGTGAGCGGACTCGAAATCATCGCGTTGGACGGAAGCAAGAAAAGAAACAATCGTCTAGCGTTGTGACGCGCTTTCCGTTTGCAGGAAAAGCTCGTAGCTTTTCTTCGTACTAATGACAAATACAGAATGGTAATAATTATTACTGTATTACTGTACTACTATGCTACTGTTCAAAAAAGCATTTTTGCTATTGGCTATGCGTGAAAAGAACTTCGAAGCAGATGTCTTCTTGCACACTTTGAAATTCTACCGGTTGGGTGTCAGCAGGTCATCAACTAAAAAGATATTTATTATTTCCATGATCAAAAGATTGCACCGACGACGGGCGACCTTCAGACGAAGCGACACCCTCACAATCCAGAAACTAGAAGAAGAACCACGAATGATTCTTCTTCGCACTGTTTCGGTTCGTTCCAGGTACGCGTTCTATTGCAGGGGTCATAATTTAGAGGGGTGTGCAACGAATTTTTTTGCGCATCATGAAGCACGAAAAAAAAAGTGAAACTCAACTACTAGTACTACTGTGGAAAATTATGTTCATTTTTCAATAGTAAAATAGTACCACAAATATCAATTTAATATCCAACAAAATGGTATATTCAGAATCAGCATTAAAAACTGGACTAGACTGGCTACTCAAAAATTAAAATAGTAGTATTTTTGATAAAGCTGTAACTGCTTAAAGGTTGGATAGTTTTACTAGTATTATGCAGTAAAAATGAGAATGAAAAAAATTCCTTCGGTGACTTTTTGGAAATTTGGACCGCACGTGGAATATGAGTTTCGACACGTTGCACACCCCTCTAAATTATGACCCCTGTTCTATTGTACGTACAACTAATGAGTACGAGTACGTACGTACGGTACTGTTACGTCGAAGAGTTTGATGCCGATACTACCGTTAATATCGTACGGTACGACAACGGGTCCGAATTACGACATGACAGCTTTTTAACAGTAGGAATTCTACAGGGACGATCATCATGTACGATTTTACCACGCCGGGCATGCTACCACCAGGCAATAGTCTGGCAACAATAAGAATGGTAACTTGCTGGTGCTCTGAACACAGCATTCATTCACAACACATATTGCGTACAAGAGGACTGAAACTTTGGGGAGGGGGCTAAGTGAATCTAATTGATACAAAAAATATTTATGGCAGGAAAGAGAGCTACTACAAGTACTACTTTCTAGTACCAGATTTTGACTAGAAATGCTACCAGATTGCTACCAGATGGCAGCAATCTGGTAGAGCATCATATCCTCATCAAGGGCTCCTCACAGCAGGACCCTGACAACCTCCTTATCAATAGGGACGCTGCATCCTTGAGGCAGATGTCCGAGTGGGGGATGAGGATGATTCAAGGACAGTTTCCAAGAATCAAAGACAGAATGTTCTTGGAGGAGCTTGGAGACAGGATGATCATCATGAACTTGTTGGTCAACCTCTACAACTACTAGTACCAATGTAGCAATATAGGACACAACCAGATCCTATTGACCTTCATGAAGACACCACCAGCAGCAACTGGAGTGGAAGAACCCTACAAGAAGAATGATTTTGCAAGGGTTTCTTCTTTTATGTTGGACGTGGAATTTCCCCTGACAGAAATAACGTGTTTGGGTGAATCCCATAGTTGATTAGTTTTTTTTTGGTTGTTTGGAAACACAGGTGTTTGGTTAGAACATCAGAATGTTGGTTGGCAAACTGTTTGTTCCAGTTAAATGTTCCAGCTGATGATGAATCAATTACAGCAGCTCCTGCTGTTGCTACGACAGTGGCAGTCGCTACAGCAGCAATTGATTCATACTTTGCTCATTCATTCACCATGGTCAGAGCACACAGTTGTTACTTTCCTTAAGGGTTGTTTAGGTGCACTCAAAAGTGCTTACTTTTACTACACAGTACCATACTGGAATAATGGATGGTATCCGCTCTGTTGCTGCAGAAGGATCAATTTTTATATACCCCTTCCAATTTTAGCATGTACTTTGTCTCACGTCAGCCAATAGAGAGCAAAGCCATGGAATTTACAGATTTATACTGTAATGAAGATGAGTTCACATGTATTGTAATGAAGACAAGTCTATGATGCAGAATATGTGCATGGCAATGCAGACTACATGTGTATGCCAATACAAACCGTTTTTGTGGGAATCCACACATGAAAAATTAGCAGAAAACAGTTTCTGATCCCGCATCAGTATGCACAAAAACCAATACAAGAAGATTGAGCAGGAATAAGTATAATTCCTACTGTCACCTAGTACTGCAACAAAGTGATCGTATGTAAATGATGATAGCATCATACAGCTCAGTTCATTAATTTAATTTGAGTTAGTGCTGTATGCTAGTATTGATGATTGTGGTTTAGTTTTCACCGTGGGATTCCCCCCTCTTATGGGGGTGTTTGATGCTGTCAACCAGCTGGTAAATGTTGTTGTTGTTGTTGTTGTTGTTGTTGTTGNGTTGTTGTTGTTGTTGTTGTTGTTGTTGTTGTTGTTGTTGTTGTTGTTGTTGTTGTTGTTGTTGTTGTTGTTGTTGTTGTTGTTGTTGTTGTTTCTGACATTTGTGCTACCAAGCAACAACAACAAACCCAGCCCCCAGCATTCAACCAAGACCTTTTCTTTGAAGAACAACTCCTGGAGTCTATGCTGCATACTCAGTTTAAGATGATTCACCACCAGCCTCGACTCCATACTAGTTCCAGTATTTAAAGAAGACTGGAGGAAGAAGATTATGGTCAGTATGTTGGTGTTTCCAACATTCATGTTGGACAGCAGCAACAACAACCCCAGCCCCCAGTATTTAACCAAGAACTTTCCTTTGTAGAACAATGCCTGGAGTATATGCTATGTACTCTTCACAGCCTTAGCTCCTTGTTGTGTCACCAGTCCCAGTGTTATTTTCTTACTACCAACCAGAAGAAGATTCTGGTCATGATGTTGTTGTTTCCGACATTTGTGCACAACAGCAACAACCCAACAAGTTACTATTCAATTCCTTCTGTCCTCTCAAAAGTACTTTCAGCATCTCTCTATGATCAATTACTTCTGTTGCATCACCAGCAACAAGAGCTAACACTGCAGCTTCAATGAAAGATGGTGGTGGTACTAGTAGAAGCATTCCTCTCCCAAGGAGTGATGGTTGTTGTTCTGGCTTACCAAATGCTATTTTCTAGTTCAAGAGGTAAAAAATAAGAACTTCTTATTTCTAAAACTATGAAGTTCAACAGGTGACATTCCTTAGTACATGCACAGCATATGGGGGAATACTACAACTAGCTACTAACATGACAACATACTAGACTACCACTAATAGTACTAGAAGCACTTGCTAGATTTCTCAAGGAAAAACAAATGCAAGATGCAACTTTCCACTGGTAGAGGCAACTCTGTGGTCACTGATGAAGAGGTGACATCAACCTTGCATCAAGATGGTGATAGTAGAGAAGGCTCTTAGAAGCAGGACTAGTAGTAGTAGTACTAGCACTAATCTACTCACTGGTGTTCCTGCCATGGAGAGACCAGAATGGCCAAACATCGATGCCTCTTGTCTTTTTAATTTAGCACCATGATGCCACTTACGAGCATTGTATTCTATGCACATTCTACTGTAGGATTTGCATATGACTTCTACTATCGACAGAAATTTACTAGTGATGAATATTGACAAAGTTCCACTCATTTGACCGAGAATAGGTTACATGTGAATCTTATTCAAACCACTAGTTTCAAGAGAGTCTAGGAGCAATAGAGCAAAATTGCCAAACCTTTTCGTGGGTTCAAATTGTGCGGGATCGATAAAGGGAACAAAGCCATCCTATTTTTCTGTACCTCGTATTTTTTTCTCGATCCAATCTATTTCGTGCTGCATCGTACTCTTCGAGTCTAACTGAGAAAAAAGGCAATGGTACCCTCCAGGGACAATGTTCAATTCTTTCTCACTATCAGGAGTTTTTGAGTTGGTAAAACAAGACTGACTACCGCTGAGAGGAACTCCGTAATCATCCGAACCGTGGTTGATATGAAAGGGCAGACAAAAGATAGGAATAAGCACTTGAGACGCTTGCAACGCAGATAGAAGGCCCACCGCAGTTCCCAAACAAAAAGGTTTTCCTCCCTTTGAAAGTCCATGAATCTGACTTTGATCTGTGAAGTGTGCTCTAGGCTCGGTTTCTCTCCAACACCGTTCGGGCGTGATTGGGTGTGGCATGAAAAAAGGCGTCCAAAGTGGGAAGAACGGCGCTAAACCATACCGCAAAAATAAGGTAACTGGCAGTGATGGGATATCACCGTGAAAAGAAGGACAATTCAATGCGCATCCAAGGAACCGTGTTGATGCGAGTTCCGGTTTTTCGGTCTGCAATACATGGGCAGCATGGAATGCTAGACATCCACCATAGGAATCTCCGGATAGGATCAATGGGGTATCCTCGGGGTGATTATCTGCAACCAGGAGAGCAAAATTGATCAGATCGTCTCGGTTGATCTTCCAATTGCCATTGGGGATGTAAAATCGCTCGCCTTCCGAGAATCCGTGCCCTAATAGATCGTGCGAATACACGGCATATCCTTTCGCATTCATCATTCGGATACGCAATGCCATGTCGGTGAACCGACCATCCGAGCACTTCATCCCGTACCCGGAATGTCCGTGGATGCCATGCTGCCACACTACGATTGCTCGGATGGGTGTGCCCTCGGGCGGAAGATTTTTTCTGTAATGGAGTTTTTTGCCTTGGTAGCACGATTCAAAGTAGCCGTGCTGTGGATGGTCGAAAAGAATATCTTTCTCCTTACGAAAAGTTTCGTCCGGGAAGATTTCCTCGGGAATTTCTATATCTAGGCCGTCATGATCCCAAAGATTGTAACAAGGCATTGTTGTTCTATTTCTTTCAAAATCTCGACTAGCGTCGTAGTCTCCGCGAACTGTGGTTCTGGACCCGGAAACCTAAATAACCTAATGATGACGCTCGTACCGGTATGCTAAAAGGCAAGCTAGACGCGAGTGAATAAAGGTACGAAAAGAAAAAAATCGAACCGTACGAGTACGTACAAGTACCGGTACCTACCGTACAACGGATAGGATATCACAAAGATTCTCAAACATTCCGTCGTAAGGCACAGACGTCAATCAATGTTACCTGTTACTCTATTAAGGATGAGGTTTTAAGTTTTACAATACGTACAGCACATCATTGCAGGGAGGGGTCATGCTTCATTGTACAGTACGTACGTACGTGATGGATTGACGAACTGACCGTTATTTTATCCGTATCTCCATTTTCAAAATTTTTTGAGCTTCGTAATTTCTCTTTCCCGAGACTCATCTTTTAAGTAAATTTCGACCAAAACACAACATACAGTATGGTTCTCATCATAATATTGTCCTTTCTTACTACGTCATCACCTCAGTCAAACATCTGAGAGGTCAACAGAACGACCGTAAAGATGAAGACGAAGAACGGAATCCCATTATTATTACGGGACATAAACAAGGATCCTGATGGACGTGAGGACATCACCAACAGTATCGTAGGAATCAATGAGGATGGAGAAGCGAGCGTCGAGAAGATAAAGGCACGATTTCAAAAAGATTACTTACCAAAATACGGATCGCTATGGCGACGCATGGCTCGCGAGAAGAGGGGGGAGACACAATCTACTATGTTAGATGAAAATTATGTTGGCATTAGTCCCTCTAACTTTTCTGTACCCACAGTACCAGATCAATCTGGTCGCACTTTGAATTTTGATGAGGGGACCGAAAAGAGAGATGCCGTCGACATCAATATTGCACCACATGGCCAGAAATGCAAGTGCGATTGCAATTCACCAACAGAAGGATATTTTATTTCCAACTGTAGCGATCAGAGAAAGGAGAACAATTCCAAAGAGGTGTCAACCAAAGAATTATCTGTCCAGAATGCAAAGCAGGAAAAAAGCAATCCTGTCGAAGACAAGCCCAACAGTTTAGGCGTTAACACAGAAATTCTGACTGAGCTCGATAAGGTGGGTGTCGTATCAGTGTATGAAACAGCAGAAGAACTCGGACGCGAAGAGAGTGATAAGAGTGATATAGAAAGAACTTTCATGCGGAAAGTATCAGTTATCAACGACAACGTCGATCACAACCAAGTTGAAAATGATTCGTCAGACAAAATTGGAAAGCTAGAAGCTACCAATACAAAGGACAACGAGAAGAAGATCGAAGAAAGTGGCCCGACTGTCGGTGCCAATGAATGTCCTCGTTTTGGTACGCAATCCTTTGTCAACACTACCAGTAATCCCTCGAAGGGGATTGTGATTTATGATTTATGTGGAGAAGATGAGGACGATGATGAGCGGGATGCAGAGATTGAGAGTGTCGATGGCGACAGCAGCGAAGACGACGCCGAATGGATTCCTGATAGTGATTCGTTGCAGCAGACTCTTCGAGTAAACTCGGTTACTACAAATCAAGTCGAAAATCGAAGGGTCAGTGCCACTATAGATCTTTGTGACAGTAGTGGCGACGAAACCGACTTCACACTATCTGACGAAGATGAGGAAGAGCAATTTGTTGCTTTACGGATCGAGGAACAACGGAGTAGAGTCAAATCGAAAGCGGCATTCCGAAGGCATCGGGATCGTATATTGAAGAATGCGTTCAACGAGTTCAATCAAAATGCATTCGGGGGAAAGCTCGGTAAAGTAGAAGTTCGATGGTCGAACAAACTTAACACCACCGCTGGATTGACGAGATTAAAGAAAATTTCCGTCGATATGACACCGGGTTTACCGCTGAAACGACATGCAGTCATTGAACTCAGCACAAAAGTGGTTGACGAAGAAGAAAAGCTTCGCTCGACGCTCCTTCACGAGCTTGTTCATGCAGCCGTATGGATATTGGATGGTGTCAGCAAACCTCCACACGGTGCCGACTTCAAACGTTGGGCGAAAATCGCCATGTCGAAAATTCCTGATGTCATTGTTACAACCACTCACGACTATGTGATCCAATACAAGTTCAATTGGAAATGTGTGAATCGAAGTTGCACTTTCACAGTTGGGAGACACAGTAGAAGCGTTGATGTAATACGCCACCGATGCGGGCTATGCAAAAGTGAACTAATCGAGACCACTCCCGACGGTGTGCCAAAGAAGCGAGCTCAACCGTCTGCGTACAATCTCTTTGTGAAAGAACACTCAAAAACCGTCAGAGAACAGCTCATCAAAATCAAACCAAGTACCACTCAAGCTGAGGTTATGAAAGAACTGGGTCGGCTTTGGCGAGAAAAGAAGATTCAAAGTAAAGACAAACCGTAATTTCGCTTGCTAATACGACCCCTAGGTTTCTTTTACGCCAACACATATCCTGTCTCTGTCTGCTTTCGTCTCATCCCAAGAAAACCTGTAGATGAAAACCCTACCAGTCTCGGAGTCTCCCTCAGCAATGTCGTCACTATCATCGTGCCCGTCTACCTGCGAATCTACCAATTCGTATCGAAAGCCATATTCTTCTGCCTTGTTCAAGACGAAATCTATTGTTACTGGTACCTTCCGCACTGCGAAGGCCATCCAGAATTGTCCGTTTGGATACCTCAAAAGCGTCCGCACTGTTTCCCAGAGCGGATCGATCACAACGGCAGCATAGATTATATCAGAAGCAATGATGACCGAAAATTGCGAGGACGACACGGATGAACCCGCCGTTTGGGCGATGCTCTCTAGAAACGTCTCGGCCGATTCCTTGCCCCATATCAATTGCTCCGCAGAAACAGCTTCGTGTTGTTGGCCTTGGTGTGCATCGTCGTTGCATTTGTCCCCGGTTTGTGGGGCAACTCGTCGATTCACCCGAATGTTCTTCCGCAATTCTTTCATGGCATCGCTGTCACCGTCCGTGATGACGACCGATTCGGCAGAGAGACGGTGGGCGAGAAGGCCGTTCAGACCAAGCCCCGCCCCAAGCTATCGAGAGACCACAGGAACGAATGGCACCAAGTTGTTAGGTTTGATCCAATTACTGTCGGTGAACGGTCCGAGGTTCGCAACCATGGATTTGTATCATTTGTTCCTGCAATGCAGTGCGGTACTTTACTAGATTGCATCGAATCGCACGGCGCAGCACCTGGATGAATTGCATACTTACTTCGAGAACTCGTTCGCCACAAAGTTCGTCGACGTGCTCCACCATGTAATCACAAAGATATGTCGACGCCTTCCACAGTGTTAGGCCCGTCGATTGCCAAACAGCGTCGGACCCGGTTTTGTAGCCGTGAATGTTCAGATTAATGGATTCGGTGCCGTCATCGCTGCTCCCTGCTGCTTCGATTGCTGTCCCCGGGGCGGAAGACTTGCGGCCCTTTTGCGTCTTGGCAACAAATCGGAACCGGAAGACTTCCGTTGGGTCCGGATCGGCAAACGGGTCGAACGGCATTTCGTCCTCCTCGTCGTCGTCCGACGCGTTGGTGTCGTCTTCTTCCCCGGGCACTTTGTCATCCAGCCATCGGATCTGGGAATCCGTCCATTTGGTATCCTTCTTTTCCTCTGTTGGGCCGGTGGTCGATGAATCTCGTGTCATGTTGTGGTGGTTGTTGTTCCGTAGAACCGTTTTCCGTCAGTGGTCGTACGGTATGGCAAGCTTGTCCACTACTTTTTCGAAGGAACGAATCCGACCCAACCCAGAGACAGTAGTAAAAAATAAATACTAGTAATACTGTTTGAGCAGTTTGCAGACGCCTCGAGATCAGTTTTTGTTTTACTACGTACCGTACTAGCTAGCTCCGTCCTGTTTCGTGTCGTGATCGGACCTTTCCGGTGAAATAAGCTCTAAACATGTATAGTTTTGGGAGCGAAGGACAGACACAAAACTGCTACAGTAATATAACTACTAGTACAATACTATGTACCGTACGAAGTGCAGTACTTCTAGTACAGGAACATGGAACAAAGCCGATACGGTACCGTATGGTAGTTGGTAGTACTTACTCGTACTCATGCCAGTTCGAACTTCTTGTACTCATAGCCTGCCTACCGTACTACCATACCGATTAGCCCACCAGTACGAGTGCTACGTACAGTACCAAACCAACCTCGAGAAAAGATCCTGGAGGTTTTGTTCGTCGCAACTCGTACCGTACTACCTGTTGTGTCGGTTGTCTCTTCAACGCAAAAACAGATCACCATGGCCAGCTCTCCCACCAAGGACGAAGCCGAGGCGGAGATGGAGGTAGACGACAACGGCAGGGAGGAGAAGCCGGTCGCATCCGCATCGGAAAACGACGCCGCCGCTCCCGAAAGCCCCGGGCGGGACGAGAACGGCGACACCCAAGACACTCCGGCCTCGGACGAGGATGTCCGGATGGACGAAGGCAGCGGCGGGGGCGGCAAGGAAAAGGACCCACCGGAAGCGGGCAAGAAACGATCCCGGAGTCCCACGGAGACCAAGAGCGGCAGCAACGAGGGGTCGTCGGAACCCTCCCAAACCAACAAACGCCAGGCGATTCTCGGCGTGCCGGGGGTGAAAAAAGCGACCTGTCCATCGGTGGACGCGGGGCAGGCACCGAACGAAAAGATCTCGGTGGCCTCGATCGCGGCCTCCTCGCAGCTCTCCTCCTCCATGGGCTGGAACGGCCTGGCGGGTCTCCTGAGCTTCTCGCTCCTGACCAACAGCGGAAACTCCGTCGTGACGGCGTCTTCGTCTTCCGGCGAACGGACCCGCGGGGGGGCGAGCAAGACGTCTTCGGCCGCCCTTGCCGGGTCGGCGGCTTCGGGAAGCGGCGCGGGCAACCACGGGAGTCTCCCGTCGAAGGAGCAGGTCCTCCAGGCCGCAATCAAGGCCGTGAACGACGCACCCCCCTTCGTGCACCTCAGCAAGACCGACAGCGCCCCGCAGCTCAAAATCACCGATTCGGAAGTCCCACCGGCGGAAGGCACCGGCGACAGGGACGAAAGCGGGTCTGCATCCGACAGCGCCGCCGCTGCTTCGTCCTCCTCCGCGCAAACGGCGGGGGCAAGGACGAGCTCGAATTCAAATTCGAATTCAAACTCGAACTCGAATCCGAGTCCGCCTCCCGCTCCGGCCCACCTGACCAACGATCGGTTGGCCTGCAAGCAGGGGGAGGGAGAACTGCGGGGCTACCGGATGACCCGGGGAACCCACGGCGTGGCTCCGGGATCGGGCCACTACTACTACGAGGTCGTCGTCCTCGAACCACCCACCGCGTGCGAGCTGGTGAACTCGCTTCCGCCCAACGTCCGGCTGGGCAAGAAGCTCCAGCGGGAAATGCAGGAGGCCCTGAAAGCCGAAGAAGACGCCGAACACGAGGCGGGGGCCGCGAACGGAGGAGGCGCGAGCGACGCCGGCACAACCKGGAGCAAGCAGGCCTTTGGGGCCCACGTTCGGCTGGGATGGAGCATGCGAACGGGCGACCTGCAAGCCCCCGTGGGATACGACAAGTGGAGCTACGGCCTGCGGGATATACAGGGGAGCAAGATCCATTGCAGCCGCCGGGAAGACAACTGGGGCGGAGAAGAATTCGGACCGGGAGACGTGATCGGCTGCGCCATTTCCATGGTGTCGGAGGGCCCGGCGGCCTCGCAGGACGAAAGCTCCGGATCTGCCGGCTCTGGCACAAAGAGCGAGCCGCAAGACTCCCAGCCACACCCGGGGAAGGGAAGCGAAAACCACATTCGGTTTTTCAAGAACGGATACCCCATGGGAGAATTCGTCATCACCAAGGGCAAACGGGAAGGAGGCGTGGCGTTTGTGATCCCCGACGGCGTCTATTATCCGGCAATCTCGCTGTACATGGGAGCGACCGTCAAGGTCAATTTTGGCCCCCACTTTATCCATCCCCCGCGGAAGCTCCCGACGGTGCTGTCCCCGAAATACTCCAGGAAGAAACAGGGCGGGAGCAATGCCTTCCAGCCGGTGTCGAGCCTGTCCAAGCCCCCCCTCACGGTCGAGGAAGCTTCCGCCAAGGTCGCCAAGGAACAAAAGACTCTGTTCTTTCGAAAGGCGGACAACTCCGCCCAGCAGAGGCGCTTCTCGGAACTCGTCGAGACCGAGGTCAACATCCTGCAAGAAGCCTACAAGAACCACCGAAGAAAGCACGTGCTGGACGTCATGCGGGAACGCCAGAAACGAAACCTAAAGTGCGACGACCTGGAACAGGACGACTTTTTCGTTTCGGAGGACGGCAGCGCCGGTGGCGTCGTTGATTCCGCCGCCGAAGGCGGGTCGGTTTCTTCCTAGGGCGACGCCGACGACTCCGGGTATGGGTTTTGTTGCCGCACAGAAAACCAAGGGGTGTGGAGAGGACGTCCTCGGCGGTGGTGCGCGAATGCGAATGCGCATGGTGCGTTTCCACCACTAGTTGCCGACTAGTTGGGGGTGGTTCCGTAGAGAAACGATGGATGCTACCAATACAGTAAAATGGGCAAGAGCAAGACACGGGAAATAATAGTAGTCCCTTCTATTGTGTTCTTTTTAAAAGTTGAGTGTGTGCAGTATGGTACAGTTTGCGGTCTACGTGATTGGTGTGTTGTGTGTCGTGGTGTGTCGTGATGTGGTGTGGTGTGGTGTGGTGTGATGTAATCCCTCTATGGTCTTGCCTGCTCGTTCGTTTCACCGCATGGTGATCAGGCACTTCTTTTGTTTCATCTTCGCCATGTTTTGGAGCCTCGGCGACGACACCCGGATCGGTAGTTTCTCCGGTGTCGCCGGTTCCGAATCCCCGTAGTCGTTCGAAGGCGACGCCGGCGCTTGGTGGGCCCCGTCCGCCTTCCCGAGAATGCCCTCGGCGTTGCCGCCCCGTGTCTCGTACAGGTCCGGCCAGTGTTCCCGGCAAAAGTCGTCCCAGACACCCAGCACCACGGTGAGCTCGTCCTCGTAGTACTGTTCCTTGGAAGCAAAGTACGTGTTTTCGTTTTCGTTGTCGCGGCGCTCCTGCCCGCGGGCGACGGGCGGCTCCCGCGCCTCCCTGCCGTAGGAGGCGCACCGTCCAAAGGCGTCCACCCTCTTGGAGGGATCCGCCCGCTGCTTGACATCGATGTGCCCGGCGTCCCACAGACAAAAGGGTCTCGACAAGATGCCGACCCCATCGTGGTCCTTGGCGTCGTTGGCAGCKGCGTTTCCACCGACCAATCGTTCCTCGGCGATGTCCACCGTGCTCTCGTTGCTCCGTTCCACGAGCTGCTCGAGCGCAAATATGACCCGGCCACAGGCGGCACCCATTCGTCCGGTGTCGTGCTGGAGGGGCCAGTTGACGACAACGCCACAGACCTGCAATCGGAACCCACAAAAAGAACGAGAGTGTGTCAGAAGCGCAAAAACGCAAAAACGCCGGCAACGAATCCACCCGCGCACGGGTTTGATCCAACCAAGAAAGCTGCCTGCGCACCTTGTAGTCCTCGATGATGTCCGAGAATCGTTCGAGGCAGTGCCGATCGATCGATCTGGAAATGTTCGTCCGGTTGCCGTGGCTGTCGTCGAATCGCAGGGGATCGAGCTCGATGCACGGTATTCCGAGGGAGGGGTGGGAGGCCACCGCAATGCCCACGCGGTTCTTGTGGATGTTCAGCGCGAGAACGGTGTTGTCAGAGGCCTTTTTCCAGTCCAGGATCGAGGCGACCTTGGAGGGCTTGCTCAGTTTTCTCAAAAGCTGGGGATGCATTGTTGAAAGTTCCGAAAGCTGTGAGATCATTGTCGCCGGTGCCGGAAGGGAGTGGATACTCGCGGCAGACTGTACGAGTCTTCCAGTGAAGTACCGTGCTCTACTATTGAAAACAGTCGTGTACAGGAGCCCCCTGCAATTTGTTGTTCACTGGACAATAGGACCTAGTCAATCCCCGGTACCGAACGGTGACACGACCTGCTTGTGTGTCACTTTCGATTTGACGATAAGAGTTCCATAGAGTAGGGTTCGTTGGTTCGGGTTGTAATTACAGTATGAGACAGAGGAGTCACCGGAGCGTTGCGAACGGTGTTGCCACTTCGTACTGTACTGTATCACGGCGAACGAAATAAATTTCGAATTTGTGAGGCGAAACGAGATGACCATTGATCGGTACGAGGACAAAACGAACTAGAACACCTGGTACTGCAGTGTGAGCAGCTACGTAGGATAATAGTAGGCATCGTTCTTGCTCCTTACGGTACGGTATTACTACCATTGCAGTGTGCATCGCTAATACGGGGGAATGAAACCTCAACTTCTTCCTTGTTTTCCCTTTGCCTTTTGCGCGTTCTGGTTCTGCGAATCTCACCAAAAACTCACAACCACATTTGGAAAGAGCTTGTCGCGCCCGGAATTCAGAGGTCGTTAATTTGAAAAAAAATCAAAAATCGAATGCGGCATCGCAGGCATCGGGGCAGCAGTCATTGCATTCGTGCCTGGAACGATGCCAACACGAGGTGCGGTACTCGTACGTACAATACCGTACGGTACGGCAATTTTTTCGCGCCCAGCGCAGCGACGCAAGCAGAGAGTACCAAGTACCAGGTACTGTACGAAGTAGATTCGAGGGCGGAGCTGCCTACACGTAGTACGTACGTACGGTACGGGGTGATTGACGCGTGACACGTAAGGGCACGACTGACTTGGGACAGCGGGACACTGCGAGTGAGGTGATTGGTGGGATCCCGGTGGGGGTGATGGATTTCCATCACACCGGAGATGGATCGATGGATCGATCGTTGAACCGCATCGACGATCGATAAGCCCTGATGGCCCGTATCAGTAAGTACGTACTGCGTACTGTACTTCACTGTACGGCAGCAACGGAACGTACCGTACGGGATGTGCATCCCACAGACGCACGTTTTGGTCCTCGGTCCCATCATTGGTCCCATCATCGGTCCTCGGCCTGCACGGCCCGGTCCATCACCGGAACGAAAGAACAACCGTTGGCGGTAGAATCGAATCTCGCCGTTGACACCGTTCAGTTCCAGGCTTTGGACATCTCTTGACACCGGTATTCTCTACCGTACGGAGGGGCATCCTTCCGCGGCTCGGGAAACCCGTCGATGCGCCGGAGGCCACGGACGAAAACCGATGAGGAGAACTCCCGCCCTTCTGTTTCTCGTCGCACCGGCATCGTGCCACGGTGGCTCGTTCGCACCGGCGTTGCTGGTGCCGTCCGGTTCCGGCAACCGGCGAAAGCATCGAGCACCGTGGCAACGGCCAATACTGCGTGGCGCCGTCGGCGGTGCCGACCGTGACGATCGGGGCTGCGACCGGGACACAAGCAATGGGCACAATGGCCGTCCTCGCGGTCGCATCCGAGCCGTAGACCTTCCCGATCGGCGCTCCGCCCTTCGCGGATCGGCGGTCGTTTTCCTGGGCCTTTCGTCTCCGCCGGTGCACCCCGAAGGCCCGCTCTTAGCGGAACCGGCCGCGGCGGAAGAGATCCCGGCACGGCCCGGAGGAACACCCGACGCGGGTGCCCGGCGCCTGCCCGATCGGGTGGTCCGGTCCCTGAGGTACGAGCGAGTCCTCGGAGCGGGAAGCTACAAAAGGGTGTACCTCGTTTCGGCGACGAGTCGTCCCCCGGAAGGGGGCGATCCGATCGCCGGCGCAACAGCTCCCCGCACTTTCCGTTACGCCATGGCCGTGGAACGCCTGCGAAACAAACGAGACGTCAAGAACGCCTTTCGCGGGGTAAGGATCCCGGACCTCATACGGGAGGGACCGGAGGGCGGAACTCCCGTCGACGCCGGCGACCGGGAGCTCTTTGAAACCATCGTCGACTGGTGGGTCCAGGCCTCGGACGTGCCGGAGTTTGCCGGGGGGCGGCCGGTTTTTCCGCAAGCGCAAAGAGGCGACGGACCCTTGCCGGGCCTAGACCGGGCGATCGGGAGAACGAGATCCGCGCCGCGAAAGAACTTTGTTGGGTCCCGGTGGATGCTCTCCTTCAAGCCCGTCTACGAAACCGATCTCAAGCGGTTCGTGAGAAACTCGCCGGCGCTCTACCCCGTTGGCGGCTCGAGCGAAACGCTCCGGGGGTCCCCGGTCCGGGACGAGTACTGGTCGGAGCCCGTCCTCATGGGGTTCGTTCTCGAGGTGCTCCGCGCCGGGAAGCTCATGCACGACGCCGGCGTCGTGCACAGAGACATCAAGCCGAAAAACATAATGGTGTCCTTGTCCCCCTCTGCCTCCGACGGGAGTCTTCGGAGGAGGCCGGTCATTATCGACTACGGGTTTTCCGAGATTGGAAGTCCCACGGTCTTGGACGAGGGAGGAAAAGGACCACCGGGGCGAACGGCGGAAAAGGCCAGCGATGTTTGTGTGGTTCGCCCGGGCCAGCTCAAAGGGGAGATCGGCTACGTCCTCGTAGAGGACCTGGCCAATTACCGTGGGTGCCAAAGGGGAGACACCTATGCCATGGGGAAAACCTTGTACGAATTCATCTTTGGTTCCGCTGGCTTGCAAGAAGCACGAACGGAACAGGAGGACAGAGACCAGGAAGAAATTTCGGTGGAAGCAGCCCGGGTGCAAGCCAACGAATTTCATAGCCTCTTGTTCGGGAACCCCACGGCCGGGAACGAGAGTCGCTTTCGCCTGTCGCGGGGAGCCGCGGATTGCCTGCTGTCGATCGTTCGGGGCTTGTGCAGCGCCGGACGACGAGGGGGAGATCCCATGTCGTTCGCCGACGCGGAAACAAGCCTCTCGGGCTTTGTCTCCTCGCAGTCGTATGCTGCGTCTCGCTAAAAACGAAAACGAAATTAGCACGGCACGTTTTTGGTAACTACCAGAGAAGTGCTGTTCTTCGGGGAGCCATCCTTGTTGCAGACGATCAAAGCAATCCATGATGTGCTGTTGGTGTGACAGTTTTTCACGGATCCCTCTGCGATCCTATCCACGAGAGAGTTCGAAAGATGCCGGCGATCAGCCACCGGGAGGATAGGGTCAAAACGACCACTGGAACCCTCTCAAATGGTCAAATTGCGTCAACCACCACTACAACACTACAGTAGTAACAGCTGTCTTCCATGGACTTTTCCAAACTTGTAACTACGTACGTACTACCTACTACTTGTGAAACTCCTAGAAGCATTGCCCAAACATCGGGTTTGTTGCAAAGGCAACCCCCATCACAGAGGTGCAAAAGTAGTAACATGTTTTGCAATGGCGCTAGGGGTACCGGTACACGACGACGATTTACGCCACTCGTAGGTCGTATTTTCACCGTACGAGTACGTAGTTTTACTACCACGATTAGGTCGTATGAAGTTCTTGACAACTCCCACCAAGGACTTCGAAAGATGTGAGTTTTTTCTATCTATTGTGCACTGTATTTTCTACGTACTGGCACTTGTAGTATGATGTACACACCGATGCTGTATGATTTCTGTTTTGAAGCGTACGAGTACCGGTATCGGACTACTGAAAGTGAGTACTCGTACACTACGTTCCAGACGGTACGTTGGCGTAGGATATCCTACGGTACGGGTAGGGTCCATGGAACCAAAGTCGAGATGAGGGAGCTCCCMGGAAGGATATTGGGGGTGTGCTTTTCGATCGCAATCACAACAGTCCGTTGTACACATCGCAGCATCCATGCCCAATGGGAAAGCCGGCAGCGACATCTCAAGACCCCGCCATTGATTGACGAACAACAGAAAGCAGAAATGGTGACATCCTTCACGGCCGTGTTCTCTTGCGCGTTGGTCGTCACTATCATCGCAAGCCTTCGATCATCGAAACAGAGCACCATTTTCGGTTTCCGGACGTCTCGCGGTGGCGATGGCGATGGCAATGGCAATGGCAATGGCGCTGCGGCTCGATCGTCGGTTTCGGATCAGATTGTGAAGAGGTATTTGCCGGCATATCTTTTGGCCGTCTTTTCGGACTGGGCAAAGGGTCCGTGCGGTTACGAGCTGTATTCTTCCGGCGAGTACTACAACTACGACTCCCACCATGCGTATTTGTTGTGTTCGGTGGTTCCATTCGTGAGTTCCATGCTGCTCGGACCCGTCGTCTGTGGACCGCTCGCGGACATGGGAGGATCGAAGAGGGCGGCCGTGGTGTTTGCCATCGTCGCTGCACTCGGCAACGTTGCCAAACACTTTCGAGATTTCAGAGCGCTGGTGGTGGGGAGCATCCTGGAAGGCGTCTCTGCTTCTTTGCTTTTCACCGCGTTCGATTCGTGGCTGGTTCGATCCCATCACCGCGGTGCTCCTCCGGAGACGAAACCACCGGCGACGACCATCTCGCCGTGGACATCAAAGGCAGCGCCGTCCCTGCGGCTCTCCCGTGCGTTTGCCACGGCGGAATACAGAAACAACATGGTCGCCATTGCAGCGAGTTTCGTCCCTTCCGTTGCAACCGGCGCGATGCCCTTCCAACCATTGGCTTTGCCAAACGAGAAAGGAAGCACCGCCGTTGTCTATGCCGGCGGGGTGTTGAATGCATTCGATCTATCGACCCTTGCCCTGTTGCTCTGCGGAACATTCATTGGTCTTGTTTGGGACGAGATTCCGACCGAACCCGCGGAAGAACGAAGGGAGACACGACCCGGCAGCCACGCGGAAGGTGCGGGGGCCGACGCGGGAAGACGGCTTCCGCTGTGGAGGCGGCACCGGTCCCTGCTCGGGGGTGCGTCCTTTGAACTCCTTCGTTCCGAGGAAGTCTTCCTGGGCGGCGCCGTCTGCTCGTTGTTCGAGACCGCCATGTTTGTCTTTGCCGTTTCCTGGACGAAGGCGATCGCGTCGCGCGTCGACGACGACGAAAACATCCCGTTTGGCCTCGTCTTTGCCACCTTCATGCTCGGGTGCATGGTGGGGACCTCGGTCTATGCCTTGCTGATCGACGAAACGAAGGTCCGAAACGAGACCATCGGGGAGGGACTGCTAGCGGTAGCGACCTGCACCTTTATAGCAATGGCATCGACCAGGTCGGCCACGCCGGCGGTCTTTCTGGTGTGGTTCTTTCTGTTCGAGGCGACGGTCGGTGTGTACTTTCCAATGATGGGAACGCTCAAGTCGGAAATCGTTCCGGATTGCCACCGGACGACCGTCTGCAACCTGTACCGGGTCCCGTTCAACCTTTTCATGGTGGCATTCCTGTGGGTGTTGGAGCACCGTGGCATGTGTCCCGAGTCGTGCTTTGCACTCTGTGCCTGTATGGCGGGGGCGGCGTTTTTCTTCCAGGTGGCGCTCGGCAGGTGCCGCGAAACAAGGCTGCTCTCTCGGCTTTCGAAGCAGCACGAAGCGTCCTTCCGGGATCGAGGCATGCGGCAAAAGAAGGCGGCCTGAGAACCGGAACCGCGAATCGCACACAAAACAACCCGCCTCTGGAAGAAGGACCTGTGTTGCAAGGATTGCAATCTCACAGACAAAACACAAAAGCAGGAATATTTACAGTATGAATACCAGGTGTGTATGATTAACGATTAACAACATTATTTCGAGTGTGGATAGTTTTTGTCTTTCCCGAGGAAGGGCCACCAGCATCGTAGGATCGGAAAGATCTGCAGCTCTCGTAGCTGGCACAGAGTGGAAGCATTGCGTTCGTTTCGTTTTTCTTTTTTAAAAATTGAAACCGAGATCCGACCGGGTGGACCCCGAGCGATCCGGGCGCGAGGGACCTCTTTCTTCTCTGAGAATTACAGTACTGCGCCCAGCTTTTGCTTGCAAGAAACAAGCGGACCGGGAGCACACGCGGGGTGGTGTTTCTGGGTCGCAAAACCATGCCGTGTGCTCCACCCTGCGTCCACGAACAGAACAGGGTCCGTTGCAATTCGCCGAAGCGGTTCCGTGCGAGGCGCGGTGCGGGTTCCTGTTCCGTGCCTACCGAGGGTTCTTGCCGGATTTCCTTCCGACCCTCGAAATGGATCTCGCGGAAGCGAGATGAGATCCATCGATCCTTCGATCCTTTTTGTGCGGTTCGCTTCACTCCCCGAGGGAATTGTAAGGCGGGAGAAAGGCTTGCCCAAAGGCCCAGGCCCGTTGGTGCCGGATGTCATCCCGAGCTCGATCTGTGCAAGGAAAAGAAAAACCGTGCCGTGCAATGCAATGCAATGCAATKGGTGCCATTTGCCATTGCATCGGTCCATCGTATCGGCCCCATTCCCCCCGTTTGGTTGGTCCTCGCTTCCTGCTTTCCAGCGCAACGGGCTGGCAAGAAGAGCACTGTTCAACTGCAGCTGGCAAGAAGAGCACGAGGACAACCGCAGGCACACGCCACAACACACCACTCAATCCCCGTAGTCTTTGGGCCTGTAGACGGGGAAGCTGTCTTCTGTCTCTGTATCGGAAACGTCCTCCGAGCCGCCGGTTTCGTCTCGATCCGACGAACGACACGACCTTCCGCTTTCCGAATCGTCGCCGCCGCCCGAATCGTCCCCCGAGCCGCTGCCCCCGCAACGACTCCCTTCCCGGCGGTCCAGCATGGCGAGCCGCTCCCGAAAGGTGGGCCGGCGGCGGCCGAGCGAGAGCGTGTGCGCCTGTCGCGGGCCAAAAGGCCCCGGGCGGCAGGGGGCCACCGCCGAGTCGTCCTCGGAGGACACGGACCGGTTCCCGCAACCCCTTCCGCCCGCCGTTGTTGTTGTCGTTGTTGTTGTGGTTGTCGTTGCGGCGTGCCACCGGTGCCGGTGGGTCTGGAGCCGCTTTTCTTCCGTCACCCGAATGTCCCGAAAGGCCTGGGCCTGGATAAATCGTTGTTGTTTGGGAAGACGACGAGGCCGGTGCCGTTGAGAAGCGAACCGGGAAGAACACCGGGGTGTCCACAACGAAAGAGAAAGAAAGAAAAAAAGAAAGAAGCAAAACCAAGACTCGTGAGAACCAAAGGCGGCAAGAACGAACCACAACACCCACCACAAATATCGTACCGTTTTGCTCATGGCTCTCTCGTCGCCAATGTCCAGGTAATAGCCACTGTCATTGCCATTGCCACTGCCACTGCCATCGCGTTCGTCCCCGCCGGCGTGGTGTTCCAGGAACCCCCCGGGTCCGCCGGCCTGTCCCTCCCGGATGCCCGAGACGATCCTCTTGACGATTTCCAGCTTGGATCCCTTCGGTGCCAGCCCGTACTCCGAGAAGTGTTCCCTCAGCAGCTTGTTGAAGAGGACGTTGCCCGGGTGGAACCGGATCCCCTTGCCCCTCCCGCACAGGACGTCGCGGTCGGTGGGGGAAAGGATCCTCTCCGGCGACGGCGACGGCGACGCTTCCGAAGGGGGAGTCACGGGGGCGGCGGCGGCGGTGCCCCTCTCGGGCGCTTGTCCCGCTGTCCCGGGCACCACCGCCGATGCTTTCGACGAGGACGAGGACGACGAGGAAGAAGAGGAAGAAGAGGAGAACGATTCGTCTGCCGACGCTGCCATTGCGATTGCGGTCCCAGTGTGTTTGTGTGTGTGTGTGTGCGAGCTACGGGCGAACAAAAGGTTTGGCTCCTGTCGTTCGGGGTTTGTTACTGTATTGTATCGACACCCTTTGGTTGTCGCTGTTGTCGCTGCCATGGTTTCCAAGGACGCCAGTACCGTACCGTACCGTATAGTGATGCCGGTGGGTGGGTGGAGTCCCGGCGCGGAGCGTCGAAGAAAGGGGGGGATCGATGCGATGGATCGATGGAATCAATCGTTTCTACGGTAGTACGTGACGTCCCCATACCATACTGCCCCGTGTGAGTGACTGGCAGAATGAATCAATCATCATCTGTCCGACGACAACGTCAAACGTGAGACGTAAGATGCGAGACGTGAGACGTACCGTATGGTACGCTATCGTATCGAATCGTGTCGTGTCGTGTCGTGTCGTGTCGTACCATCGCCTTGGTCATGGATGGCCAGCCATGCCTTTGGTGGTACTTGTACCCGGTACCGTACAGTAGGGTACCAGGTATCGTATCTCACCGTATTCGCTCGACACCTTGGTTGGGGTTTCTGTTTTTTTTTGGCACCGGAGATTCCTTGGTGGTTCTTCGCAGGGCACCTACCACCGGTGTCGCGTTCGTTGACAACAAGAAACGAGCGGTGGTCTTCTTGACGCGACTCGATCAATCAAAATCAATCAATCCCTCGTCGCTTGGCACTGACTTGCTTAGTATGGTACTTTACTGGTTCTGACATCACTTGCTTTCTGCCAAAACCAATACGCGAAGTCCGGTCGTTGCGCGAGCGCTAGATGTCTGTCTGCTTGCGGTCTGTCCTCGCTCGTTGACCGGTCGCTCCGCTCCTTTTCGACCATCAAAAAAATGATCGGTGTGTCTCCAGTACGGTAGTACGGTATGGTACTCGTACTCTACCGTAGTTCGCAGTAGTTACTTTTGTGTACACTACACTACCGTTGCTCGTGGTGTCACCGTCCATCAAACAATCTCGGAAAAGAAAATTTTATCCCAGCGGTTTCGCGGAATCTGGTTCGTCCTTCGTGCCTGTAGATAGATGGTGGTATGGTATGTGTAGCTTGTGTGTGTATGCTGCGGCTGCGATGCACAAACCGCAATCCTTGGCGGAGCGCCACTACATTGCACCAGCATTCGACACACTGCGGTTGCCTACGGTACGGTACGATACGGCACCGGGGACAAGTCACTCTGGAGTTTCGGTTCCGACCAGCCACTCCCGTCGCAAGGCGTCGCATCGCACTGCAGTGCATTCCGTTTCGTTCCTGCCCGCCGCATGCCATGCTGACCGACTACTCCAAGTGGGATCGCCTGGAGGTTTCGAGCAGCGACGGGGACTCGGGGAGCGAGGACGATGCCCACCCTGCGGCACCCCGGGTCACCCGGTTGGAGGCACCGAGCCGGATCACCTTTGGGGGCGGGTCCCCCACCATCGCCGCGTCTCCGCCGGCCCCCGGCCCACGCGCAAGCCCCGCCGCCGCACCCCTTGCGCCGCGGGAAGCGCCAGCCCCGGAGGGAACCGGTGCGGCGGGGGCACCCCCCGGCGGAAACGCAAGCGCACCTTCGGCGTGGACCGAGCGCGGTGGCCTTGTTTTCGTCGACGCCGCCGCACACGGGCACCGGGCCCGCAACCTCTACTGGTCGCAGGACCGGTACTCGGTGGTGCTCCGGCTGGAGCTGGAGGGGGCCGAAAAGGTCGGATCGGTGACCGTCGGGGGGATCCTCCCCTACCGCGACCGGTGTGCGGCCGCCGGGACGGCCAGGCCGGTGCTGTCGGCCGGGAGCAGGGACGGCACCGTGCTGCTGGAGGGGGAACTCCCGCACCCCGTCCACCTGGACGAGGACGAGGAGGTCGTGGACTGGTCCGTGGAAGCGGCTCCCTCGGAGGCGACCGGGAGGTACCTCTGCGTCGCGCTGCGCAAGGCCGTTCCCATGCAGGGCCTGTCGGTGTGGTGGCGCCGTCCGCTGACGGAATTCCCCGAAGCCGACCTCGGCGCCATCCGGGGCGCGGAGCTTTCGAAGGGCGGCTCGGACGAGTTTCTCCGGGCATGGGAAGAAGCCCACAAGGTGTTTCGGGAGGGGAAACCGAAGCGGTTGCCACGGAATGGACCCGGCGGGCCGTGATGCAATCGCCGCAAGCGAAGGGTCCGAGGGGCGACGAATGCGTCGTTCGAGAACCTATTCGAACAACCGTCTCGTGCCATGCAACGAGGAGAAAGCCGGTGCGAATGTCTCTGAAATGTATATCATTGGGAGTGGGGCAAAGAGAGGTGAGGAAATGATGGTTTTTTTTGGCACAATGGGGAATGTTTGACACTGTACTAGTACTACCGATCGATGAGTGTTACAATGACGATATATTCTCAAAAAAAAAAGTAGATAGAGACATCGGAATGCAATTGACGATGAAACCATAATCAGAGCAACGCTTATTCGCTGCAGCAAAGCAGTACAGTCCCCTTCGAGGAGCAGCATCGTTGTGATAATTTGGAATGCATCTATCTGTTTCTTACGCAAATCTCTCTGCCCAAACTTTTTTTTCGTTCAGGCGTTTGGTCATCGGAAACGAGTTCTTCCCCGGCACGGTTGCTCTTGATTTGGCAACAACGTTTGCAAGGCACTGCGCATGACAGTAAATCCAAGACTCGAGGCTTCCCTTCCTGTCGTTCTTGGACGATATCGAGCATCGATTCCCTCGAACTTTGCATGGATTGCTGCAATCATCCGGTCAGAAATTCTACGACCGTTGGAATCGAAAGGATGCAAAACTTTTGAAGGTTCCGCTGGACAGAAGAACAAGTCACCAAGAATCATCCAAAAGCACCAGTACTAGTAGTACCGCAGGAGGAAATCGTGTGCACTGCCAATACCGTCTGCCAATACCGTCTGAAAAAGCGATATCTCGAGTCATTTAGTTTCCATTCTAGTGAATGATACTTTCCGTAGTATTGAGTATTGCACATCGTTTTTCAAGCTCTATCCCCACGGCCACCAAACGATAAACGTACTTTAGACTATTAGTATTTGCACGGTTATCTACGCAATGAATTGGGGACAGTTCCTCAACATTTATCCACCTGCTGCTCTCTAGCGATAAATTGCCTCATGTCTCAACTTGCGTATTGTACTGCATCTTGAATAGGTGAGGAAGCAAGCAGATGTGAATGCAACACAAAGACCGCGAATGAATCATTGCTGCTATAATCTTTTTCGCCTTTTGAGTGCAGCAGTGGTGGCAGACACCCTTGTTTCAAAGCCAAGTGCATCGCAGGTTTCCTTTGCGCCTTCTCTCAATTCGATTGCTTTCGTTGCATAGAGGGCGCACAAAACTGTAATATTGAAGTACTTGCACGGGGTTCATCTTAGGTTGAAAGGCTATAGATAAGGGCTGGGTGAAGGCAAGCAAGTCAACTATCTCTCGAGTACAGTATCCTATTGTACATGTGACGAAAACTTGAAATAATTGTAGCTGTGTCGTCTTTTCGACAGATCAGAAGTCTTGACAGGCCTTTTGAAAAAATAGCTAGTGTTAGAATTTTCCATAAACATTATCTGATTTCTGCTTGTCTCGTCCAATACCTGAATTTAGGAGGTAGTGGAATGCTGATACTAATTTTGTTCTCGGGAATGTCCGAATCATCGGAACTATATTGGTAGCTGCTGACGAGGTTCTGGGTTTCATCACGAATCCATTCTACGATAGCATCCGAACACTTTCGGATACAATCTTCTCCGTTGGTCGCAACTGATTGACAAGGGTGGGGAAACTTCAAGGAATGGCAGCAAAGATACATTCCGTTTGTTCTCAAGTGTCTAGCTCCTCCATCGTATTTCGAATCTCCAACGATTGGCATTCCCAAACAGTAGGAAAGGTGCCTGCGGATTTGATGCGTCCTCCCGGTCTTCGGACGAACTTGAACCAGCGAGAATATTTCGCAGTTGGTGTCAGTCTCGCATTTGTTATTGTGGCCATTGGAAACATCTTCGCTCCGCAAGGGATGATCTGCGTGGAGAGAGGACGACGACAAAGGAACCGAAGTTGTTAGCCTCCTAATTTCCGAAACGGATTCTCGATTCTCGATGGGGTAATCCACCACGAGCCATTTCGTGGATGTATCAGTTGTTTTTGGAGAAGCGGTGAAATTGGCTTCGTAGCCCTGTGTAGACTTCGCAGCAGTATCGCCACCACTAAGTTGGGAGGACAAGTCAGGGTCTCGTTCGAATACAAGGGCTGAATACGTCTTGCAAACCGTGCGCGCTGCAAATGCTTGAGAGAGTTTGCGCATACTCATCTGCGTCTTGGCAATTAGTACCAATCCGCTGGTACGACGGTCTAACCGATGAATGGGACGAGGGCAATAGGTAGGATCGAGTTGTGATGGTCTCAAGAGAAATCCGAGGATCGATTGCAAGTCGTCGATTCTTGTCTGCGTACCAGTCTTACTGGTACTGCCGATGGTGGTCATATTTTCAGGCTTGTTGACCACGGCTAGGTGATCATCTTCGTAGATGACAGGTACCGAACAAATTGTGTCGATGGGTGGGAACATGTACTTCGTCACAGTCAACGGATATCGATTGACGCTGGGAATCGGTTCCAGGAGAACGAGCACGGTTTTGTTTGGTACCAATATAGACCTTGTGTTTCCGATATGGTTTTGCAGTGTTTCGAGCGACATGAAGATGTCTGAGTTTTCTTTATCTCTCAATGTGGAGGCTGGTTTTTCGTTTTCTATCCAAGCTTCGGGCCCCGTATCGTTGTTGGAATCCGAAGTAGTTGTGGCATTGAACAAAAGGAATCTACCAAACTTTAAAGACAGTTTAGCCTGTGATTTCGATGGGATTAGCCCGTTTGGATTCCATTCTAGCAATGCGTCGATGATTTCAATATCTCCGGAACATTGTTTCTGGCCGTCTTTGAAGACTTTTCTTTTCCCGCTGTTCTTCTCCTTCGTAGTTAGAGTTCGTACAGAACATCGATCAATAACTTTGAATCCATACGTCAAATTCGGTATTTTCGAATCATACTGCTGTTGATCATGTGTTGACACAAATATATTCTGATAAACGTCTGGCACTGGAGGAGTTGGTGGTGGAGACAATGAAGAGACGAAGCCGCTCTTGTGGTGAAACGTCATTGCTATGAACACCGCCAACATTGTCATTTTGTGATTGGAATTCAGGCAATTGCCATCGCGAAACGGCGCAACTTGCATCTATTCCGCCCTCCTCCAGTCTTCAACAAGTTCTCTCGAGATGGATTCGACAAGCATTCCCGCGCAAGTCTTTACAATGTCAAAGGATGAAGTCAAATATGGGTCGAACCATCCTGTATTCAACGATCAAAAAGAGTTCTGGAAAAATTGTGAAGACAGAGTGTAATCACCCGTTAATCTAGATTGACTAAAAATCGACCCATCAAGTCAATCTAGACAAAAGGAAAGGGACAGAATGCCGGCAAAATGCCAGTCTTTTTGGGAATTTAGAATCTTAACTATTTTGATGGAATGAATCAAAAGAGGGCATTCCCCCACAACAGGCTCAAAATATTATTCTTGGGTTCCACACTAAATCTACTAGTCATTTTTTAATGGGGATCTAACAACAAGAAGGGCCGTTCAAAAATGAGGACTACTAGATATTGACAATCTAGACCTCATTTTTCCATTCGTCTGTCTATCAAATCTAGTAGTCAATCTAGATTAACAGGAATTACCCATTGTGTTCCTTGCCTTTTTCCATATCATTCCTTGAATCATGAGCTCTCCTCCTCCAAGCTCTATTGATCACAGCTCCTCTTGCTTGTGACAGGCTCCATTCCTCTTGTAGTACACTCTCTTTAAGGACCTACTGTAAATAAATATTACTGTTGGGTACAAAGGATATTTAATAGTATGATTGTGTTTGATTGGTGTTGAGTACTAAGGATATTTAGTAGTATGATTGTGTTTGATTGGTAAGTCAATTAAAGATTGTACTTAAACGAAAGAAACATTCTTTTCTTCTGCAGCTCTCATGATGTTATTTTTGTGATGTTGTCTATTTTATTTTGAGTTTCTTCCTTAAGTCACAACAACTGATTTATTGACACATTCCTATTAGTAGTCTCTTGTACCATGCTCTCTAAAGTGATGTCTTGCTTCTTTGTTGTTCAGTCTCCTTGGTTCTTTGTTTGCTGATCTGTTGGTCAGGACATGCGAGTGTGTACCCATCAATTCATCTTAAGTTCTCCAATACTAATGCTGTTTCTTCAGCATTGATTCCTTTTTGCAGTTTTTGACCAAAGCAGACATCAAACTTTATCTTACTACAACAGACAAAGTGTTTTTATAGGCTATTTGCAAATGGTCATTCCGTATGTTCCTGGACATTTGGAATGAAAATCTACACTGTAATTTGCACTTTCTTGTGAACATTTACCAGCACAGGAGATTCACTTTCTTACTAGATATGGTTTCCGGCCCTAACCCATGGTGGTTCCTGTGCCTGGTGCTACAGATTTAATCAGTCCTGGATAGCTGAATTAACCATTTCACCAGCAGTATACATATGGTGACTCAAGCCTTGCACATGCTTACCTGTGGTTGTCAATGGTGGGTGACTACTAGTAAAAGAAATTGAAGAATTGTGTAGATCAAGTGTTGCCAACAAATAGTAGTAGCACTAGGACTAAAGAAGTTCACTGCCTAACCATCACATAAAAGAAATAAAAAGACCTCAACAGCATTAACACCAGTACTATCAACACAATTTAATAAGAATAAAAAAATGTAATTTCAAAACAAATTTCTTCAGACGCATGAAATTACACTTCATTTCTGAAAATTATCACCTAGATTTCCTACTGATTCCTACATAGTACATAACTGAACAGGGCCTTCTGACAAACAAACCACCATGGTTACACCCCCTTCCAAAGGGAAAAACCTCCTCCCTGACCCTTATTAAAGCACTCTCTTAAGACCCAAGATACCATTAATATGATCATTTTGTCCTCTGCTGCAGGCCTTGCCTCAGCTACATCCCCCATCCCCAGTTCTTCTGGACTAGAAGCAGCAGCGTTTCCGCTCGTCATGATGTTGTTGTTTCCAGAATTTGCTCCAGAAAGCAACAACAATAACCCCAGCCCCAAGTATTCTTCACCCAAGACCTCCTTGGAAGAACAGTTCCTGGAATAGGCTACATACTCAGTTTAAAAGAAGATTCCTCAGCCTCCCCTTGCACCAGTTCCAGTATTTGTAGACTACTGGAAAGTGATTCCAGTCATGTTGTTGTTGTTGTTGTTGTTGTTGTTGTTGTTGTTGTTGTTGTTGTTGTTTCTAACATTTGTGCTACCAAGCAACAACAACAAACCCAGCCCCCAGCATTCAACCAAGACCTTTCCTTTGAAGAACCACTCCTGGAGTCTATGCTGCATTCTCAGTTTAAGATGATTCACCACCAGCCTCGACTCCATACTAGTTCCAGTATTTACAAACTGGAGGAAGAAGATTATGGTCAGTATGTTGTTGTTTCCAACATTCATGTTGGACAGCAACAACAACACCTCAACAAGCTCTTATTAGTAAAGCATTTCCACCAAGCTGATGCTACTATGATCAGTATCCTTCCCCACCCCAAGTTTCAAATTAGTATTAGTACTATGCACAAATAATTATTTTGAGAAGCAACACTACTTTAAATATCATCAAACAGAGGTATTCTTTCTTGTAACTTGTGTTGCCAAATGTTGCTACCCACACATGTGCACCCCCAGCAAAAAAGGAAGAAAGTATTTTTCTCAATTTGGATTTGTACTAGAGTATAAACAGGTTCAGGATATGAGGAGATACAAGTAAAATCTTGAAAACAGAGAAAAATCAATTTGAGGGTTGGGGTGGAAGTACAAAAAACTTAATCCATGGACAAATTCTCAGATTGTAACTTGTGAGTGAATCAAATGAGTCAATTGATCAAGTGAATCTGATGGATGATCATTGACAATTGCAATGAATCAAAAATTATCCCAATTGCCAGATTCTACTACCATTTGGATCATTATCCAATGCATCTATAAAATACATCTTGTACATAGTGAATGTTACTCCTGTTAGCATCACTAAATGTAGACTTAGTACTCCTAGAGCCTTGTGGGGATACTGGCACTTCATGTACATAGGCCAGCAGATTCAAAGGTTTTTGAACAGTTACTGATTAACATTGGACCTCTAGCTCTAGCATTTGCAAAGGGCATCAAATATCTACCAAAAGGGTAGACTGCATGGTGGTGATGGCAGGATGAGATATATGGTCAAGCACCCTAGCCCCATGCAATAGTAGACTCTGAGTTCAATTCTCTGTATCGTGAATGGCACGATCCACTGTGATTACACAAAATGCTTTGATACTCAAATATTTAATAGTACATAATATATATTCAGCAAAAAAATACACGACACGTAATCTCATTTTTTCATATCTCTCTTTTTTGTATCAGCAGGAATTTTTGTGGTGACAGCTTGTACTGTCACCGATCAGAATGCAACCTCACGACCAGCATGAGTTGTACCATGCACTTATAGTGTATCGTTATGCTGATCTATCATGATATAGATTCACTAGGCTTCATACAATCCCGGCGGTAACTGTTGTTCTGCTTGTGTTACTTGCCTTGTCGGAAAGCGTCGCGCAGAGGGATAGTCCATGTCAAGAGCGCGAGCACTGCTCAAATGGTTGACCAAGTCACGGGAAGGTCTCCTCCAAGACTCCTGGAAGTATGCACTCGTGGCATCTGAAAAGGACGAAACAGTAGTCATATTTTCTGTATCTGCATGCACGTCGTCGGGAATATCACCATGAAGATGACGAATTTCTCTTTGCTTCGAGTTTTCCTCCTCAAATTTGTTTATCTTTTCTTCAACATCGTTTTGATCGATGTCATAGTGCGTTCGAAACAGCATCGATGCCACAATAGCGTTGCTCGGTAATGCCAAGGGTTTTGCATAGGATCCAGCACCAGCTGACGATCTGGAAGGCTTTTCAAACGAAAATCCACCCGTAGATCTATTGTCATCGTCTACATAGCCATCGTCAATGTATTGATTTCTGCTTGGCCGATTGGCAGGGGAGTAATTGTGTCTAGAAAGACGAGATCTATTGCCAGAATTTCTTAGTTGGGCTCTAGAAATTCCATTACCAAAACTGGACTGCTTTTCCCAAGGACCAACATCGTCGAAGCTATCGTTGTCGTCGTCGTCCTTGTCCTCTTCTTCGAAAGACTTTCTACGATGAATAGGATATTGATTTTTCTGATACGCTCTCCAGTCACCACCAAAATCTTCAGGTCGATTGGATCGCACAGCGAAGTTTTCTTTTGCACTAGCTCCGTTCGGAAGAGATTCGAAAGGGTCAGATGGTGGCAACTGAATGTTGCTGGATGCAATAGAAGAATTTCTCTTCTTAAATGATGGTGGACGAGCAACAAAATCGTCGAATTGAAATTCGGAACTTTTCCTCTGTGAGTTTTCCGATCTGAACCAATCGTTCCCTTGGACCACCTTCTTTCCAGACGGCACTATATTATTGTTCTCAGCGCCTGATTGAGTATTTTTATGTGTCAACGGTTGACGGCCATTTTGAGGGATGTCAGTACTTTTAGCCTTATGGACAGGGCTAGGACTATAGGAAAGAGATGTTATACTGACTTGTTGTGACGCAAGAGATTTAGTGCTCGCTTTTTGTACACGGCGCTCATCACAACGACCTCGTTGTGCTCTGCAACGTCCCTCAAACTCAGTCGACGATTTGTAGCTACGTTCAAAATACGCATCACCCCAGGAAGACGAGATGTCAGATTCAGTTGCTGCTAATTTTTGTCGAGATTCTTGTTGGTTTGAAGAGCACTCATCAAAGAAGCTATCTTTCTTGGTGCTAAGGGGGAAGAAAGCGTCAAATTCCTTCTGCCCGTCCTTTTCGTCGCCTTCAGTACCTGGAAAGAAGGCATCGAATTCGTTCACGTCATCGGCATTTTGGCCGCTATGGATGGGGTTCAATTTATCATCGGTAACAATTTCAGAAGTTTTAGAGACAATTTCATTCGTCTTTGAACGCTGTTGGATTCTCGTTTCTTGGCTAGTTTCACTGCAGCTGAACTGGGTTTCATCATCGTCTATGCTGTAGTTTCTGTCTCCGTATGGGTAGTCGGCGGGAAGTTGGAATGTTGATTCCACCACGGTTGAGGCCTTGTCCTCGTCGATGGTAAATTGATAAAATTTGCGTTCTTTGACCATTCTCTCAATACCGCCCATCGCAGGTTCTTTTTCACCAGCGCTGATACTATGTGTGTTATCTAATGATGAATCCATCTTCGCTAGATTACTCATAGTTAGCTTTGTCGTTTGTTCCTTGGAAAAGAAATCTGTCGGATCACTTGCGACAGAGCTGTACGATGATTGCGGATTTGCCGATGACTGTTCTTCACGAGAAGGAATGGTATGACATTTCTTTGTTACGTTTTGTTTAGAATGCCCGCCAATTGGGTTGATTTGAAAACCAAAGGAATTAGATGCGGAATTAGTTGCAGCGGATGAAGCAACAGGGAAAAATGAATGCTGGTTAGCATCAGTCGTCTTATTGTCACCAAAGCCAACCACATCTGCATTATCGTTGTTGCCCCATTTAATCTCCTCTTCCTGTATCTTGGATTGAATCTTCTTTGTAGAACTTGGCCCTCGTATCACTGATGTATCTTTTCCAGGTGATTTGATGGGACTGAATTCTCTCTTTTTACTGCCCTTGTTATCCCTGTCCTTGCTTGGGGTTCGATTAATGAGTGCGGTTGCCTTCTTGTCGAACATGATGTCTCTCTTGTACTCTCCACTTTCGCTTTCTGTGGAAGGAAATGTGGAAATGTGTTCCACACCCCACGAAGAAGAGAAAGATTTCTTAAGCTCCAAACCTGCTGTTATACTTTCATCGTCATCGCCATCTAGTCGTTCAAATTGGTTTTTTCGGGGCCTCCACTTGCTTCCTTCATTTCCAGCGAGTCTACCAAACGGCTGATTACCGCTCGAGGAGCTCATTACGGAGTCTCCGCTTCCATTGTTAAGTGATCTAAAACTAGAACCCTTTTTTAGCATTCGTCGTACGAATCCTGTTGATTCGTAGCTTGACTTTTTCTTTTTCAAGCTGGGCATGATTATTTGCTATTCGACCCAAATTCGTTCACAAAAAATACAGTATGATGTTATCTTCTATGGGAGAAAATGCAATAAAATGTTTTCATTTACGGTGCATGGTGCTCGAAAATATAAGCAGGTTTATGTAACACACTCTTGGGATAAATGTTTGACCGACCTATTTTTCGCGGAATAACATGAAGATCGGTGCGCCCCCCTTTTTGTCGATCGCCGAATGCGTGTCGAGGTATTTTTGCGATAAGAGTTCGCCCGGCTTGGAAACTGCCATTTTTTCTTCATCTGAGACGCGTTGGACTCAGAGAAACATTTTCAGGAATCAGAGAAGAACCTATGCGAAACGTACGCGAACACATTTACGTTACTTTACAGGTAAATTAAACGTGTGTCGAACCAAAACTTAAGTACAAACCTTATTACAGAATGGTCAAACTCGTACGATGTACCGAGTAACATAATTTTTAAAAATAAAATCTTATCCGCAATCGAATAGAGCAAATTACTTCTATCCATTCGAAAGGTCTAGCGAAAACCAACAACCGATACCAAACTACAAGGAAGATATGCGCCATGCCAGTATATCAATGATTTTCAACTTTATCCACCAAGGAGCGCAAAAAGCAAGGGTTTCTGCGTTGGCGTAAGGTTCTTTTATGCACCAACCGGTTCACCTTTTGAATGAGGTGGGATAAAAACCTCTACGGTATCGACCAAATCAACGAACCGTAGGAAGCTCAGTCAAAGAAAACTGGAATTGATATCGCAGCCACAATGGTTGTGATGACGTCGTCTGTAACAATGAAGAATTCAAAAATTCAAGCAACAAGGTGAGGCGGGGGAGGAGTTCAACCGTTCGTGACCGGAGGCAATGACCAAAGCTCACGCAACATCGATAATGGCATACAAATTGCAACGATAACTGCGACTCGACTCGACTCAAGTCGACTTGACTCGACTGGACTCGCTTTCATGCCGCAACTCGCCGCGTTTTATAGCACCAAGTTGACGACATGGCTCCTTGTGCTATGTTCGTACCAGCAGTTTTGAGTCCAAATTATTGCTGATAAAGTCTAGTAATGACTGCAAATGCATGTCGGTATCGTTATGGATGCAGCTTTTTAAACAGTGGGGATGATCATTACAAATATTCTTACTGTATTATGTAGTATCTTATCAGCTAATGCCAATCATTTCATTGCAACAAAGTTAGTGAGCGAAACAGCAAAACGAATAATCGCGTAGTATTTCACACTAACTAGCTCGTGATGCATTGCGTATAGAGAAAAATTATACAATCATGCATCCTGGGCCGACAACCACAGAATAGGAGTAGGTTACAACGTCGACACACTTTCTCCCTCTTCATCTAGATCTAAATGTTGAAAATGTGTCATGGGGCTAATTGAGACACGGCGGGGAGGTCCTTCGCGGCCAGCGTTGCGATAAGGGGTCACCCTATCATCAAGATTGATGCTGTCCTCGTGGAGAATCTCATGAGCATTGCTACGTTCAGACTTAGCAGAACCAGGACGAAGAGGAGTTGCATTCTTTGGATCAGCCCCATGACGACGGGGATTCTCGTGGTTCCTTTCGCGGCTGTTCGAGCCATGGTGTCTCCTAGAACTCCCTGGATCGAATAGATCGTGTCTTGGGACATTTGCACTTTCACTGGCATGAGGATTGCCGCTACCATTCAGGGTAGGCTGAGGTGTTTCAAGCGGATGACTATATCCCAAATACGGTAAATAGGGCATTTCGGGAGGAGAAATATGGGGTTGATGATGTTGCTGATACTGATTTTGATATGGATAATGATGCTGCGTCATCATAGGATGATGATAACCATGAGGTAGTGCCATGTACATCCCGTGATGTACGTAGCCGTCCTGGATGAATGAATGAATGGAGAAGAGGAGAATCAGGTAAAGAATTTACCGGATTGGGTGTTTTCGTAATCATGGAGAGCAAGAATATAGAATGTTAGTATTAATATCGACAAATAGATAGCAGTCTATAAGGAACGTTGAAGCACTTACAGCGAGCAGAGGAGGCGAAAGAAACGAATTGCTTTCGATATTACAGTGTTGGTGTAGAGGCGTCGTCCCTGGACACACACTAAAGATTCGTGGTGGTAATTGAGAGGGCGGAAGCCCGCTCTCACGAGTTCCATTGCCTAAAACTTGATTAGTTGCATTCGCATCATCAGCCACGCATGTATTCGGGTACGAGTTTCCGTAATCTCTGATGTTTTCAATCTTTAGCAATATTTCCTTCAAGAGCCAGTCTCTCACGTGCGGCGGAATCGAAACCGATTTGCACTCCCCGTTGTTATTAAGGATTAATCCATCAATTCTTGTATTCTGATTTATGTTATCGATCCACATATCTTGAGTTTGAAAAGAAGAAGTGATGTTGCTCGAATCGTAGTAATCGTTGTTGATGGTGTTGCTTCTGCAGCCAAAACCATCCCCACGACAGGTACCAATGAAATCTTCATCATTCAAATTGGTATCGCATTCAAAAGAATTCTTGGTCATAGCAACAGGCATGTATGGTTGCATCTGCTGGCAATGGTGCTGATAATCATAGGAGGGTTGATTGCCCGTGAATTGAGCTTGGGTCTGGTCTACCCAACACCCAAGGGTTGGTTGGAAACCTGTCGAATTGAAGCTGGCCATCATCGTCGCACCTGGAATGAAGCATTCATTGCCGTTGGTCTGTCGGTGACATTGGTGATCATGCCCATGCTGATGCTGGTGCCGGTGCTTCTTTTGGTGGTTCTTGTAATGGATATTGCTGGTTTTCGGCTTCTGATCGCGATTGAAGGTGTTTTTGCTACGGTCTTTGTTGCCCTTTTTGTTGGTGTTGCTGTTACTATTACTATTACCATTGTCACTGTTATTGTTAATATTGTTGCTACGTGGCCTCTCCCTATCCATGTTTTTGCTCTTGAATTTATTGCTCTTCGAGGTTTTGTTATTCTTCGTGAACGCTTGATTTGGAGTCTTCTGTGTTGTTCCATGTTTGTTGCTAGTATCGGCGAAGACATTTGGATTCCTGAACTTATCGGTCCCTCGGTGCCGAGACTCCTTCCTATCCGCGTCGATGTAGATACTCATGGTGGTTGACGATAGGAGCTGTGGTTCCTTCTTGCTGTTAGTGTCGTTCTTGCTGTCGTTGTCTAAAGCGGTCTTGCTTGTTTTCAATCCAGCTTTTCTTGATGCCTGTTGCGCGTCTTCGGTGGTCGGGTTCATGACGAGGTGTCGTTGATGTTCGAAGTTAGGAATGGAAGAAATTCAAAGATATCGTTGCAATCCGAACTGTTACTGCAGAGGAAGAAGATAAAAATTCATTAAAAAAAGGTCAGATTGTTCAATGCAACCGCGAAAGAGCAATGCGCTATGCGTAGGTCAAGCCCTTCGCTGAAGGAATTCTAGTGGTGAGAGGTTCATTAATGAGGCCCAATAGACATCTTCTACAAGATCAAACTTTCGTCAATCATTACCATTGCTGGTGCTGTTTTTCTTGCTTTCAAGAACGTACCAATGCGGTATTATGGACTGTACGCTCGGTTCTTTGTGATGGTAAATCACGACGACGACCTTCTCGACCTTAATTTGAATTTTACGGCAGATCCTCGTTGTTCTTCGTACAAATTGTAGGCAAGATACTTTTGAGAATTCCTCTTTTTTTAGTTCCCATTCATAACGAGCGTTGCTCGTACGGTACCAACATGAAGCAAGATCGAAAGTGACAGGCGTATTGTTTTGTTGGCAAAGAACGCGTAAAAGAAGAAGAAAGTTGTCGTAACTGGTACATTAATTTCTAATTTCGTTCTAAAGCTTGGTCGTGCTTGTTCAGAGGTTGATCAGTGATGAAACTTTTGAAGTTTTTCAGTTATTTATTCATTCGGATTGGTCATACTCGTAGGCGAATGAACGGGAGTCGTCTGTCGTCTGTCCGTACCTTTCATAGTACGTACCTACTGGTACTACAAGTGGTACGTACTGAAATAGTAATAAAAAATCTAGAAATCTTGATAATATTCCAATCAGCCATGAATCAACAAGCATTTAGATGTCACTCAGAAAAACTCTGACACTCTGCACACTCCTTCTAATTTACTTCACAGTATTTTTTCACCATAAATATGGCACGGTGCACTCAGAAAATACTGCAATACTAGTAGTAGTGATGAATTACTAAATTGATTTCATCCTCCACAGCACCGCTGCCTTCTTGTTGCTGTCAGACAAAGTAGTACTAGTACTAGTACTAACAAAAATAGTTACTACATTGCAAAAACTATGTAAGTGCCAGCAAAGTGGTAAGTGCTGCTCTGAAAAGAATTTAAAGCAAAGCTAATAAGTGACATCAGCAATTGCTACTACTAGCCAAAAGCAAGCTTTGCTTGTAAGTTATCTTTAGTAGTACCACTGGAAACATTACCACATACATACCAGTACAAGTATGCATACAGTGTATATGAAGGAATGACCCTCCAAAACAATACAGTGGTGCAAAAATAAATTGAGTAGATATTTAGTAAAGTTCAGTTCTACTACCAAAAAAATAACTTTTTCCCTTTGCATGTTGCCAGAAAATGTTGCCAGCACCTAGAAAAGTTAAAACAATCTTTCTTTGCTACTACTACATTGGTACAAGTTCTATACTTCATACATCCCTATCATCACTGAAATATATTATGAATATATTTTGATAAATATAAATAACAATACTAGTACTACTAGTACTACTAGCTATTCACTTAAAATACATCACTAAACCTGATGGTTGAAGAAGTTACTCAAATGCTCCTTGCATACAGCAACATTGCAACTTCTGCAACCATGTCTTGAAATTTTCATACTAATAGTACTAATCCAGGGCAACTTCCTCAATCTCCTCACTTATGAGGAGTTAGGACACCTGTGCTTCTTTGCTTCTTCTTTTACACAGATGAGAGAATAGTTCCTCTTCACTCATTCATACTTTCCACTGCATATTTCTTCCTGTGGCTTTGAAGTTACCTTTGCATGAGCAATGGTAGTGCTGGTAATTTTGTTCACAGCACCACAGAAGAAACAAATCTCACAATTGCAATGGTGTCATTTTCCATTTTTGGAAGTCTTTCTTGGCATCCAGCACTCTGGCTTATAGTAATCTTCACCATATGGAGCTTTCCAGACCAATCTTCAAATGTGTACAGGTTGGACTCTTTTTCTATCAGCTGCAGGATTCTTTCATCAAACAAGAACAAGAAGAACAAATATGCCAACCCTTCCACCTTAATGCCAACCCTTCCACCTTACTATTGTTAGTGCAGCAATCCAATGTATTCCTTCTTACAGTATGGATGAGACCTGGTGGGGCTGCACCTTCTCCAGGTGATGTATACTGAATAGAGGGGGGAGGAGACCCCTCCTCTACATCATCACCCAACTTCTTGCCATTCCATGCCACCATGACACCAATGCAACAAGCTTTGTTGACAGTATTTGACTGTTACCAGTCTTGGCATCCTCAAATGAGGAGGAGACCCAAACAACTCTTCCTTGTTGGAGATAGTCAAGATTGATACTTCCAGCAGTACTACTACTAGTAGTAGTACTCCTAGACATCATAGTAGCTGATCTCTCCTCTTGGGTGGACTTGGATCAGTACTGGCGTCTTGTAGTTGCTCAAAGAATTGCACAAGATTCCTGACACAGGGAGATTCATGCTGAGTGACATTGTTGTTGCATTATTCTTCATAGTAGTCATTGTCATGTGCTTTTCATCACCATCTGAAGACATGTGTGCACCAGCAGGAGGAATTTTAGTGGGACTCATGAGAATTGAGGAGTCCTGGAGAAAATGTTCCAATTCATCCTGCTCCATATCAGATGAATCAGAGAGGTCACCATGCCACAGTCAAGGAGTTCTTGAATTTGTCAAAGGGAGCATTGCAGTACTAGTAGTAAGGAGGAGGGGCACCAGAAAGACTTCCAAGAGAACCACTAGGAGTATCACCACTGAAAACATTGCTGTCATCTTGGGAGACCACCACTGTCGTCAGATACTAGGTCTGCATCCTCACTAGTACTAKTAGTAGCTACCATATGAACAATTGTCATCACCATCAGAAAAAGAATCATCATCATCCATGATCATGGTGATATGGTTATGTTTGGGTGATAGTTGATATGATGGTTTGGAGTGTTTTATGTTTTCTTGCTTGGATATTATGAGGAGGAGAGAAATGAATGAGGAGAAAAGATGTTTTATATCAATTAATTGTTGAAAACTTTTATTGGCATTTCAGTCTTATTTGTGTAGGATTTGTACTGTAGTAGTCTACACAGGTGAAAATTGGCTACACTGCACTGCACTGCACTTCACTATCTTTAGTGTGCCGTAGCCAGTAACCTTGAAGAATTCTTACTACAGTCCTGCTGGAGGACTTACCAAGGAAACAAAAAGAAACTTTCTTTTAGTGTGGATTTGTACAAACCCCGGTATATTAATTTTTGCAAATAAATGAGTTCCTTGACCAAAATGAATTATTCATTTTTAACTTAAACATTCAGTCATTATTGTGACAACAAGTCATTCTAGCAATAACCTAGTTTGTGCACTGTAGCAAGTTTTTTTGCCGCCACCGTCCTTAAAAAAAACAACGGCGGCGGCACTTTCATTGGTATTTCAGTCTTATTCGACTAAGTGGTTCAATGGTTCAATTAGTACTCACTTAACCACGTGCCGCTTCAAGGCAGCATTGGTACATTCCATTTACCATACGTATAGTATTACATAGTAGCTATGGTACCATAGCTATGGGAGGAGTACCGGTGGTACTATGTAGTAGTTTGAATCAATATCAGCAGGTCTACCCCCGGATAAGAAATAAATATTTACGTACAGAACTGTACAGGGCCTGGGTGTTTTGTATCTTTTTTCCATTTTTGATTGGTTTGCTGATCTATTTTCAACCATTAGTGACATCAGCAATTACTGTAGACTGTAGTCCAGCCACTTACTAGCCGGAATCATGGAAGTCAAATAGAATAAAAAGTACAAAAATAGTCGTTATTCGACTGGAATTGTCCTTCTGGAATAAGGGACAAGTTTGAGGGGGAGAAAAATGTAAAAACATGGTATCAACAAATTTTTAATGTAAAGCATGTACTAGGTTGAATGCGATTTTTTTCTGTAAAAATATAAAGTTATGGAAATGAGATGTTGGTGGCGTTTCCTGATATGCTAGTACTATGAAAGATTGAACAACAAATGACAAACGTACAGTACGGTACGTAYAGTACGGTACGTACAGTACACCCAACTTTCGACTTCCCCTGGCTGCGCACCGCAAAAGCCCTAATCAAGCTCTGGTGCTTATAAGATTATTTGTGTAGGATTTGTACTGCAGTCTACACAGGTGAAAATCACGGAAAATTGAAGGAAAAAATCATGGAAGTCGAATAGAATAAAAAGTGAAAATTGAAGAAAAAAATCATGGAAGTCGAATAGAATAAAAAGTACAAAAATAGTCGTTGTTCGACTGGAATTGTCCTTCTGGAATAAGGGAGTTTGAGGGGGAGAAAAATCTAAAAACATGGTATCAACAAATTTTTAATGTAAAGCATGTACTAGGTTGAATGTGATTTTTTTCTGTAAAAATATAAAGTTATGGAAATGAGATGTTGGTGGCAAGAGACGAGTTTCCTGATATGCTAGTACTATGAAAGATTGAACAAATGACAAACGTACAGTACTACAGTACACCCAACTTTCGACTTCCCCTGGCTGCGCACCGCAAAAGACCTAATTCCAAAAATGCACGATTCGGAGCCGGGAAAAAGTTAAGACAGCATGAGTGAGCAATCGTGCGTAACTGCAAACTTTCTTGATGGAGTCTGGTACGAGTACCGTACGTAAGAACGAGTAAAAACTCTTACTGTTCTCTACGACATGTCCACTCGTTCAGTATGGGTTTTCATGGATACGTTCAAGGAGTCTCGATACAATACGGTGTTACCTTACGAACTTCATAATGAAGAGGTTGCCCACAATGGGGTACGAGTCAGCTCTACGGTCACAGATTTCAAAAGGTGCGACTTGTTTGCCGTAAAAATAATGGGAATTCCGATACCGGGTGACAAGTTTCCAGGAGATCAGAGACCTCTAATTCGTGGAGGGGATATTGATGTTCGTCATGCCGCGTCGCGAATTCTTTCCTCCGTCAGCCATACAACAACTATCAAGCTAGAAAGAAGCAATGATAAGGACGAAAACGACTACCACCACTACTGCTGCTACTACACAGCCCAGGAGTACTGGTTACTGGCACTTATTGTCGCTAGTATGGTTTGCATTATTGTTCATCTCAGGAACGGTGCATTATACGGTGATTCCCATGTGCAGATAATGTCAAAGAAATATGCTAGAATCCGGTATGTTCTATTGGGAATGTCTACGATTGCTGCCCCGATCCTACCATTTGAACACGGAGTTCTTGTGATTGCGATGTTGGGCAATGGATTCCATTTGTTCGAAGTAATTCGATCGCACCATGATACGACTACAGTTTACCAAAAGCTAGAGACGACAAAACGACACGAAAAACGAATGCCGCTGGAGATTGACACGTCAAAATATGTCGATGACTGCTCTGGTGATTTAAAAATAGAACTTGCTGTCAAATGGGATAGTACTGCATGAATAGGAATGACTTTACTTTCGATTGCGTGACCCTTGAACTCCAAAATATTGCTCCCGGGAGTCATCATTACGACAAAATCATGTTCTTCCGCCACTGATACACTAGGCTCGATGAAATTTTTCGAATTGCATCCCATTTAATGCTGACAACCTTCGAGTATTCTTTTGTAACCAGGTGCAGCTTTTTGGAAACATCGAAGGAGAACTCAAAAACTCCAAAAACTGCATTTAGATAGGTAACCAATTTTTATCATTCCTACGAAAAGTGTTCTGTTCAATACTTCTCACTCAAGCTCCCATTCTTTGGGACTCGTGTAGATCGTGTTGCCTTTAACTATAATGAGATTTACGTTCCATGCAAAACGAGATTACTCAAAAGTTCAACCTGGTCCTTCTTTTTGCAACGTTGACATGAAGTTGCCGCCCAGCATTCAAGTTGGGGGTCCATTGATTAGATTTGTGGACACGAGTAGTATTGTCCTGAATTTTTTTATACGCAAGTCACTGCTTATTTTCATTCAAGCTCCTTCGGCGTCTCAAACATATCCAAGAGGTTCAAAATATTGACGAAATCCTGCTTTTTGCAATGTGGGTACTTATTATGAAAAAGCAGTGTCCCCTGTTTTTTTTCTTTTTTGCGAAGTAGGTCCTGCATTATGACCGCTGCCTAATGCAACGTTCAAATGATTACAATTATCAAATCCATCTCTTTTCGTGCGAAGTAATAGTGATACTTTGATAGCTTTGGTAAAACACTTTACTAGTAAGTATGAAATTCGTTTGTAAGAGAGCTATCCTTGGAAAACGAGAAATATGAAAATCAAAATCGTTTTCGTCTTGAAAATCAATCCGGTACTTTTCGTTTTTCGAGGACCCAAAATCAAGATTGCAATACAGTATCAATTGATCTGGGTTTTGGATTAATCCAATACGTCCAGTTTCTGTAGGGTAAATTTGAAGAAGATTTGAGGACAGCATTTGGATCCAAACATCCGTCCAGTAAGTCAAGTATAATCAACCATCTAAAAGACTGAGAACAAACACTTTTTCTCCTACTTCTCTGGGTGATTGGCGCGTATCATTCTCTGTAACGCATAGTTTGAATGCCTACTCTACTACTTCTTTAGTATGCAGATGACATCCTGAATACATTTACCTCTTGCGTGGTCCAAAAACTAAATCATACTCTACGTTCTTCTTGTTCTCTACGTAAGCCAAGATACTATAAGCCCTCGAATCCGTTTGCGTTTGGAAATCTTTTTGGTAGCCTTTGTTGTTGAAATCACTGTTGTCGTCGTAGTTGACTCTGGGGAAGTGGCCTCTGCCACAGCAGCATTCGACGAGGACATTTCATGCGTCGTCTTGACTTTTTCCGGTGCGGTGTAGTGCTCTCCCACAAACGCAAGCATTTGCCGCTGAATCTTTGGCCACGAGCATGCGCCTCCACCGTCATCGCAGTAAATATGATTTGCATCGGAATCGTTGCCCCGGGCGTAGAAATGGATAGATGGAACTCTTTGTACCCTGAGCTGTGATGTGACATAATCCCGAAAGGGGTCCTTTACCTTTTTGTTATTCGATATCATAATGTCTGCAAAGACCACTGGTACTCCCGCAAATTTTGGGCTCCGGTGCAATGTTTGGAATTTCTGCTTCAGCATCCGGCAAGCTGCACATATTGGACTTGAAAACTTGAGGAACACCAACTTGTCAGAATTGGCATCCTTGAAGTTTCTGAAAGACGCAAGGAAGATGAGCGACACATAGGGCGATTGGCGAAGTGTCGACAAAATGCATTTGATTTTTACAACAAGCTTGCCTTCTATGACTTACTCAAGCTGACTTTGGCTGATGATGCGATAAACTCCATCGTTGCCAAGGACTGGCATGTCAGCATCCTGTGATGACAGCAATTCGAGCTCTTTCTTTTCTCGTGACATTTCCTGCTTTGCTTGGAACATCTCGTCTAGGAGACCCGACAGAGCCTTTGTGTCCTCGGAGCCACTCGAATTACTTCMTATTTCTGCCTGCGTATCAATATTTCGTACATTCTCTGCGTCTATACTGTCGTCTCGGGAGATAAAGAGACGTGCATGTTCTGGCGTTGCAGAAGATTTGGGAGACAGCGCTACAGGAAAAGGTTCGACAATGCTTACAAACGATAATAGAAGAAAAGCCCTCACAGCGTTGCTCATGATGGAGTAGAATGGCGACAATAGTGTTTGGCGTATAAACAAGAATGCGCGGTATTATCTAAAGCATCAAACGAGAGATTTTGTCTGCTAGGGTTTCACGGCAGATTCTCCTACCCCTAACGTTTTGCCATACAAACAGGAGGTCTTGTAGTTTGTTTCTTGTTTGCCATATGGCAAAAGCAGGATTTTGAGAAAGGATTTCGAAATGTCGCTTTTGTCGGACACAGTTTGACACGATGAACAAGAGTAGTGATTGTGAGCTGCACTTACGAGGACGGTACGTACTACCGTTCGCTACAAATCGAAGAAGCCACTTTTGTTCTGCGACTGACACTCATTGGTTGAAGCACAGAATGAATATTTTGTTCAAGAAGTTGCAAGTGTGTTTCCGGTAGTTTCGAGTCCCAGTCATCTGTTTTGGAGTCTCAAAGTTCAGCATACCGGTTCACACGAGCACTCGTACCACTTTGTACCGTGTCAAAAGCATGGCATTTTGTGCCACGTCGTCTCCCAGACATACTCTATCACCGTATCAAACATACGAGTGCAGATGAAGATTATGGCTACTAATAGTACTACCTCCGTTCCAAAATACTGGTACACTTTGCACTACTCTAATTTTTCCATAATACTGGTACACTTTGCATAACAAGTCGAAAAGAGGAAATTGGGAGTCGTGAGTGAATCAAGAGTGAAATTTATCACGTGAAAATAACACGGGGAGCATTTTTGACCCACGCGCACAGCACTTTTTTTCTCTTCGATTCCTCTCTCCAGCGCAAAATTCAAAAAAAAAACATGAAAACTGCATGCGCCCGAGCAATATTTGGGTTCTCTAGTGACCGCCTAAAGACTGCATTAAACGTTCCCAAAAAGTACAATAAGTACAATAAGTATACCATGATAAAGCTCTCAGTTTGGGCTTTTCAAATAAACCGGTCCCATCTAAAAAAGACCAGTAGAACCCAACTGACGGTAAAATCACATTTATATGCCAAAATAGGGCCTCTTTGAATAGCTATAAAGAGTGTACCAATGCTATAAACTTATTGCAATTAACACAAGTGTATACCACTGCAATAGATCTGTTTAGTGCAAAAACAAGCATTCCAATCGCCCAAATATTGAGCTTGTTATTTCAACCAAAGAGGTGCAAACTGTACCAGTATTTTGGAACGGAGGTAGTAGCTAGTACTGCAAGTACTACCAGTGGTAGTAGTACTATAATGCTACTAGTACTACTAGTAGTAAAGGAGGAAGAACAAGAATGATGTACTTGTATCAGAATATGTGCTGGTGGTGCAGAAAAGTTATTAGCACTACTACTACTAGTAGTACTAGTACTAGTAGCTACTAGTACTACTAGTAGTATCATTCTTCAGAATGAAAACACCAACAAGAATGGGTGTTGTTCTTGTTGTTGTACTAGTACTAGCCACCATTGTTGTTTTCTGTGACAGAGCAAGCAACAATACCAATAAGAAGTGAGAAAAACATCATCAGGTGTCATCTGCTGCTGTTTACTTCTTGTTGTTGTCAAAGTTAATTCTTGTCAATTGTGATGTTCTTCTTGGTGGTGGTGGTGGTGGTGGTTGTGTGAAATACTGGTGCTAGCACTACTAGTAGTAGTGGTACTACTAATAGTATTAGCTAGTAGGGACAGCTTATGTGCCAGTTTGAGTTGCAAAAATACATTGAATATAGTGGTAACTCCCAAAGGCATTCTAGACAATGAAAATATATTAATTAGTACTAATACATCTGTCCAGATATAATAGTACAGCACTTTCCACTACTCTGTTTTTCCAGAAACAATTGTCCAGTATTTACTTAACATTATTTGGAGTTTCTGGTTGTTGGATTATACAAATGACAGTGCATGACTGTGTAGTAGTACTAGAATGTATAGTCCTCAGTACTGTAGATAAAAATGAGCATGTGTGTGAAATTTGTTTTTTAAACTTTTCACACATGAAAATGGTGCACTCTCCTATTAACACAACAAACTAAAGGTTGCATTAACAATGGTACCAGGCACCTCTTTTGAACAAGAATGACCAATACAGCAAGAAAGTTCTCTGTAGTACTGAAGAAAATTACAGCTTCAAAAATGTGTCACTCTTAGCTATTATGTGCAAGTAGCGGCGTATCAAAATGACCAGTAGAACCCAACTGACGGTATTTCTTTCATATTGATAAGAAAAAATAAGCCTGTTTGAAGGCTTATTCCTTCATTGTTACTGGTACAACATTACACAGCATAAATTTTATTAAAAAGTATTAAACAAGATCAACATAATAAAAAAGAAGCAGTCAAATTGGCCAAATATTGAGCTTAATCCAACTAAAGAGGTGCAATCTGGATGGAGTTGGTAGTAATCAATTAAAGTATTTTAGTTACTGGTGATTGATAAAACGTTATTAGTAAAGACTGAACAAAAACTTGTTAGTAATTAGATTATATCAATATTTTATTAACCAATCAATAAAATTTTATTAGTTAATTAGATTAGCAGAACTCAGTTCTTTTTCACGTAGGTAGCTAGAAATGCCCAAGAATCACCACAAGTTTTTGTTAATGGGTTACTAATAAAATAATAAAATTTTATCAATCATTTAATTATTTTATATATCACAAGATACAACTACTAGTCCACAGCTTTAAAATGTAATTAATGATTACTTTTTAGCAATCGTGTTCAGATTAAGAAGCACTGCCCAAAAAGATTAAAAAAAGGCCCCTGCTTTGTTGGTCCCTCTCCTGGTGGGTTGCAATGGATACGTACGTACTGGATAGGATACGTACGTA